TCTTAATATGCTTAAATATAGTTAATATAAAATTAATTAATTTTTAAGAGCTTAATTAATATTTTACCTACTTTTTAAGTAAACTATGATGATTATGTCAACTAATGCAAAAAAGTATACTGCAGAAAAGCACATAAGCTACTATAGTTGCATGAGTATCAACCCCCCCCCCACCTTTTCTTTATATAGAGAGCTGAAACCAACATTCACCTGGAAATTATTTCTCTGAGTTCTACTCTTTCCTGGGACTATTGAAGAGTTTTTTTTTTAATGCCTTGCAATTTACCCATTCTACATCATGCAGAAGGGTATTGTGATGAAGACAAACGATTGATATTGGGATACTTACAATTCTAGTCTACCTTCAATCACACTGATTTACATTAGCCCAGGCCATCTCACAGGCTTGTAGCATAAAAACGGAAAAAGGAGCTCTGTATAAATTGTGGCATACCATACTACTGCAGTTTTTACCAGAATATTGGGATTGAAGAAGCTCTGGTTGTCCTCCCAAACTCTGCTACCATCTGCTCCTATCAGTTCTGTCCTCCCAAAGATGTAGCAAAGGTGACTGTTGATCCCCTTAGCATATTTTCAACACCCGTTATATCCTGCCATAGCACAGTGAAAGCAAACAAGACAGCCCTAAAGAATGAAAAATGGAAATGAAACCATATTTTTTTTGGTTCAGTTGCTCTCCACTGTCTCCTGAGGTTTTCCCAAATAAATCAAATTTATCAGAATATAATTCAACAAATCATGTGCTAATATTGTATTTCTCAGTCAGAATAATCAAAGTATTGCACTGCTTCCTAAAAGCACTGCAATATAGCTCAATTTTTAAAATTATTTTAAAGAATTCATCAGAATATTATATTCCCATTTTTAAAGGTACACTGAGTCGTATGGCATATATTCCTGAAGCCTGATTGGGCACAGAGGGAGGAGATCTCCCCTAGAAATGTGCTCTTTCGGTGTGTGGCACTACCTATAATTCCAGGGCAGAGATAAAGGTGTGGCTATTGTCATCCAAGAGTGGCTTTTAGGAGCACTGCTTCAGCCATAATTGGATGTGAGATTCTGTTTGTGAAATTGGCCTTAGAAATTATTTGAAACTATTGCTCACAACTCACAATAGAGGTCACACATTAGGTCTGCTTTTTGTCTTGGAGCAACAGCATTATGATCTGAGTTGAGAGATGTTAATATAGGTCACCCAGTTGCCCTGTTTTGGGCGATCTGGTCCTTTCTGGGTAAAGTGGGACAGGAGGAGTCCTTGTAGGTTCGCTGTAAGGACAATTCTTATCATCTGGTGGATAAAATCGCTTGACTTTACTCTGGATTGGACTGTAGTTAGGCAGTGTCCTAGGAGTTTCAGGTTTTAAACTCACAAATGCTCAGTTACAGGTGAAAATAGCAATTTACTCGAGACTGAATAGATAATAACAGTCAAGAAAAGGAATATAAATCAAAACATAGTTTCTGGAAAAGAAAGCTTGCCTGAGTGATTTCACAACAGGAACATGCAGAAGAATAGTCAAAATCCATTCTAAAGTTCAGAATCATGCAGGTTTGTCAGACAATGCAAGGTCAGAGTTTCATGAGCAAGATTCACAAGAATAACATGCCAAAGCAGGAAATCAGACAGTTTTTTCCAACAAATAATATAGGTCAAAGCTGCCTCATAAATTAGGATGTAATCACCTATTTTTGGTCAAGACAGTTACTTCCTTGCTTGGCAAGGAGTCTCATTGAGCATCTTTGCTCTGCTTCTACTTTACTTTGCAAATCTGAGAACTTGGAGACTGTACATTATCATCTGATCCAGCTGTTCTGATGGTGCCTGTATTTGATCAGTCTTAATTCTGGCTTGGAATCTCCTAAGGCTGACATTTCAAGGATTTAGCTAGAGCAGAGTGAGTCATGGGCCATGATAGGCTTATTTATTTATTTAATTTTATTTATATGCTGCCCAATCCCAAAGGACTCAGGGCGGCGTACAAAATTAAAACAATCATCAACAATAAAACAATAAAATAATACAATCATACCGCGAGTGATCATATCCCGCCCCCCCCCCGGGGACATCAGCCCCAGGCCTGCCGGAACAGGAGAGTTTTAACGGCTTTCTTAAAGGCCGGCAGGGTGGGAGTAGTTCGAACCTCGGGGGGAAGTTGATTCCACCAGGTCGGAGCCACCACAGAAAAGGCTCTTCCCCGAGGGCCCGCCAGCCGACATTGTCTGGCCGACGGGACCTGAAGGAGGCCCAATCTATGGGACCTCACCGGTCTCTGAGAACTGTGCGGCAGTATGCGGTCCTGTAAGTAACCTGGCCCTATGCCATGAAGGGCTTTAAAGGTGATAACCAACACCTTGAATTGCGTCCGGAGACCCACAGGAAGCCAGTGCAGCTCGCGGAGGATAGGTGACATGTGGCGTACCTTGGCACGCCCACAATCGCTCTCGCGGCTGCGTTCTGAACCAACTGCAGCCTCCGAACGCTCTTCAAGGGTAGCCCCATGTAGAGTGCATTGCAGTAATCCAGTCTTGAGGTGACAACGGCATGAGTGACTGTGAGTAAAGCCTCTCGGTCCAAATAAGGCCGCAACTGGTGCACTAGGCGAACCTGTGCAAAGGTCCCCCTGGCCACAGCTGATAGATGTTGTTCCAGATTTAGCTGTGAGTCCAGGAGGACACCCAAGTTGCGTGCCTGCACTGAGGGAGGTAAATTTGCCCCCCCAGGACTAAAGATGGACCATCCAGTTGGCCTTTGGGAGGCAAGACCCAGAGCCACTCGGTCTTGTCAGGGTTGAGTCTAAGCCTGCTCACCCCCATCCAGACCCTCACATCTTCCAGGCACTGGCACATCACATCGACTGCTTCACTGAAAGGACACGGGGTGGAGATATATAATTGGGTATCATCCGCGTACTGATGTTACCTCACCCCGTGTCGCCGAATGATCTCACCCAGCGGTTTCATGTAGATATTAAAAAGGAGGGGGGACAGGACCGAGCCCTGAGGCACCCCATGATCGAGGCGCCTAGGGGTCGATCTCTGTCCGCCCGCCAACACCGACTGCGACCTGTCAGAGAGGTAGGAGGAGAACCACCACAATACGGTGCCGCCCACCCCTACCTCTCCGAGATGACGCAGAAGGATACCATGGTCGATGGTATTGAAAGCCGCTGAGAGGTCAAGAAGCACCAGGATAGAGGAATGACCCCTATCCCGGGCTCGCCAGAGGTCATCGGTCAGTGTGACCAAAGCAGTCTCAGTGCTGTAGCCGGGCCTGAAACCAGATTGAAAAGGGTCCAGATAATTAGTTTCATCCAAGGATCGCAAGAGTTGGGACACCACCACCTTCTCTACAACCTTCCCCACAAAGGGGAGGTTGGAGACCGGATGAAAGTTCTTCAAAACAGCTGGTCCAGGGAAGGCTTCTTGAGGAGGGGCCTCACCACCGCTTCCTTCAAAAGTTGCGGGAAAGACCCCACCATCAAGGAGGCGTTGATTATCGCCTGGAGCCAGCCTCGTGTCACCTCCCTACTGGCAGAAACCAGCCAGGAGGGGCACGGGTCCAATAAACAGGTGGCAGCATTCATTGCCCTCACGGCCTTGTCCACTTCATCAGGGGTCACAGGCTCAAACTCGCTCCAGATAACATATCTTGTGGAAGTGATAGGGATATATCTTATTTTGATTATTTGGAAAGAGTTTGAGCCAGGGAATCCTGAGGAAGTAGACAGGGTCCTTGCTCTGCCAGCTGTGTTCTAGATCCATGCTCCTCCTGGCTGGTTAAGGATTCCAAGGAGATGGCATGGGAATGGGTCCAGGAAGTAGTTAATGCCTCATATTTGGATAAGGGTAATGGTGCACCCCTTTCTTAAGACACCATCCTAGAACCTAGATCAATAGAAATCTTTGTCAAGTCTCCAGTGTTCTATTTTCTGGGAAACCAGCAGGAAGTTTCCTTGCCTAACAACTGGGATTCAATTAATGATGGCAGGGATTGCCATCACTAAGCGATGTGGTCACACTTTATGATTGCATCACTTAATGATGGAAATTCCAGTGCCAATGTCTTAAGTTGAGGACTATCTGTAATCACAATTCAGGCCAAGTTGAGATAGTATTGTTGGTGTTTGTAGATGACTTCTGGAAAGCTCAGACTAGGGCTGGTACATCCATCCTGGCCTTGTTGGATCTCTCAGCAACACTATTTGCTAAGGTAAAGTTGGAGCCCAGCAAATATATGGCAGAATGCTTTGGGGAAGGCAAGGTGTTGTTTTTTTGCTGCTAATATTATTGCCCCTTTTTTTGAGTGGTGTGGTGGCCTAGAGGTGAAGACATTTCTGTCCCACCCGGAAGGTTGCAAATTCAATCCTAGGCAGCAACAGATGTTTCCCTATCGGGGCGCAAAGAGAAAATATCTACTATGGACTCCGTGTAGGCGTCAGGAAGGGCATCTGGCCAGTAAATGCTCAGCTTCATTCAGTTGTCCTGACTCCACCCTGATAAAAAGGATTATAGAGTCATAAAAAGAAAAAACATATTGCCTCTTTTTCTGCTTTATTGTTGTTGTGAATTGCCCGGCATTGTTGTATAAAAGTTAAGCTATAATAGTGTTTTAAACAAATAAAATAAAATATATCCATAAACAAAATATTAATATCTTTTTGGGGGGAAATAATATTCTAAAGTATGTCATGCAAAAATACTCCTTTCAAAGGGGATTGTCTGTATTATGTATAAGTATTATATAAAGGAATCTGAAACTGATTTTGGAGAGTAGAGGCATGTGAACTTAAAATCCTTGGCTAAGTTGCTTCTGCTCAACCTGCTTTCTAGATCTGTGTCTATTAAATGGGCTCATTTTTGCAATTTATATTTGCATGGCAGGAAAGTTGTGCCTAGCCACTAACCATATTACATATATTTTACTGTGAACCCAATGGTTGTTAACATGGGCAATTCATTTCCCATTTTGTATTTACCAGGAAGTTAAGAGAGAAACTGAATCTAAAGAAGATGGTTTGCCAGTCAAAAGAGAAAGGCATGGAAATGTGGCCAACCTTGTTCAGCGTATGAGTACTTATGGTTTTCCAACTGGAGCATTCCAGCCTCAGGGCAAAGGCTTCAGAAGACGTATGTATGGTATTTGATTTCTGCCATATGGTACTTTTATATATGTATGTATATATGTATGTGTACACATACACACACACACACACACATTCCTGAAGACACAAAGGACTTTGATCTTTATTAGGTTAGAGAAAGTACTATAGTATTTTTGAATTGATCTCTTTATTCATAAAGTAGGAAATTTGAAAGCTCTATTTACAGAAACCCTTTAAGTATCCAGAAGTTGAAAAATAAACAAGCCAGAGTGACCTATCTGTTTCTTTCAAGCCTTCTAACCAAAACAAAAAGGGATGTCCCTTCTTTCATAGTATTCTGAACTTGCACTATCCTTTGTTAAGGGTTCTGAGGTAGCTATAGCAGTGTAATATTAAACATTCCAGTCAGTCTGTGTGTCTGCCAATCCATTGAAATGATTTTTCAGATTATTCTAAGAAATGTGCAGTTGTTTGCTTGCAGAATTTTTATTATCCAGCTAGGTAACATCATCAGTACGAGTGAGTGTGGAGTTTGCTCCCCTGTTAACTACAGTAACTTGCCTAAAGCCCAAGCCCAAAGATTATGCAGTGAGATCTAGTTGAGTCTAAACCTTTATTTGCTTAGATCTAATGGGCAGAATCTTGCTAAACTAAAACTACAATCTTTTAATATAGACATATCTTGAGAGAGATTCTAAGACAGTGGTTCTCAACCTTTTTAATGCCGCGACCCCCAACCGGTCATAAGTTGAGGACTACTCAACCGGTCGTAAGTCGAGGACTACTCAACTGGTGCAGCACCGTTTGCAGAATGGGACTTTTGGCGGGCTCAGCAGGGCAGAGACAGCCTGGAGAATTCCTATTGGCTTTTGAAAGCCAATACAATTAGACTTTATTCAAGAGAGTCTATTCTATTGGCTTTCAAAAGCCAATCGAATAAAAGGGAGTAGCACAGCTAAGGCAAAGGGGGAAAAAATGGTGGACTGCATTGTTTGGCGACCCCCGTGAAATAGTCGTTCGACCCCAAATGGGGTTCCGACCCACAGGTTGAGAACCACTGTTCTAAGATATGGGTACCCTATTCCCTCCCCCACCCCCACCTCATCCAGCACTCTTGTAATCTGGGCCTCTCCCTGGGAAGGCTTTGTTTACTAAAACTCTTATCTACTGATTCTCTCCATCACACCTTGCCAGTTTTGGTGGGAGTATGCCTTTCTTCTTGGTAATTCCTTTCTTCAAGTATTGCTTGTCTGTTGTTAATCCCTGCTTGTTTATCTGGGTGTTGGCTGCTCGAGAGGATATGTTCTGTTTTTTTGTTTGTTTTCTTTTTGATTTTTTTAATTGCTCTTTTGAATAGTGTATAAATATGGTTTATCTCTACAGTAGTAGATGTCTATTGATGGCTCATTTGTCTGAATGCCAAGCTTCCAGTAATTCCGTAGCATTTGGAGATTTGGCTTGGTCTAAGATGCCTGTAGTTACTAAATTGTGGTTGTGCCTGTCTATGTGTTGTGAGATTCAGGAGTTTTCATTGTGTCTTCTTTTTGCTACTTTGTATTCATGGAAGCACTCTGCCTATCTGTTCTACACACAGTCCTTGATTTACTATTACAGTTGGGATCAGAATTTTGGTCACTAAACAATATAATCATTACATGACAAAACCCGATTTTATGACCAATTTTTACTACAGTTGTTAAGCAAAACACTATGGTCATTACATGAATTATGTGGTCTTTAAATAAATCACATAGTTATGTGATTCCGGCTTTCTCCAGCAGGATGGCTGTAGAGTCCAAATGGATGGGTTCTATGACGGCCTTCCTGCCTGGCAGACTGGGTAAAAACTTCGGCCACACCCCTTCCTTTGGGCGTGACCCCAGTTTTGACTCAGTCTCGAAGCCTGGTAGAAGTGCGAGAGGCAGCTCTCAGAACAAAACTAATTTAACTCAAAAAAAAAAAAAAGAGAGAGAAAAGGAATCCCCTCTTCCTCCAGTTGAAAGAAAAGTTTCCTGGCAGCTGATAAGACTTGAGAGATGCAGCCAGGATCGGCGGACTCGTGAGTGGGGCGTCAGGGACTAACGGGAGGCTTGGAGCGGGAACGGATCGCTCGCCGATTTCCGGCCCGCCGAGCAGCTGTTTGGCGCGGGGACCTCACACCGGGTTGCTCGTCGCCCTCCGGGTCCGCCCAACAGCTGAGTGGTTTGGCCGACAGAACGAGGCGCCGCTCAGCGCGAAACAGCTGAGCCGCGCGGGAAGCGGCAAACCGCGGCGCCGCTCGGCATAGATCAGCTGAGCGGCGCGAGAAGCAGCCCGACAAGAGCAGAACTAGCGCTAAAATTTCTTTCTCCTCAGAGGAGAGGTGCAGCGCCCTTAAGACTAAAGGAGTCTTACTGATTGCTAAATTCAAAGATCCGCCATTGTTTTGAACCTCGTGGATTCCCGGGCTACCATTGGGAGGCGTGGCTTCTTCCCCATTCGCCATTTTGAACGAGCGGATCTACCCGCCGTTTCTTCCCTTGGGGGTGGGGCCACCACCCGGATTCCATTTCCCTGCAGACAAAGGGGGACCCCTTATGCTATGATCTGAGGTTATCTCAAGAAATTGAGACAGGAGGAAGGAAGAGGGAAAAGAAAGAGAACCGTTCTGATCGTGGTCTGTTGCCACAGCCACAGACTGGGGGAGAGAGAGATATAAACTGCACTTTGTCTGGACTAGGTGAGGAGGTGAGGAAGAGCATTTTTCCCTGACTGTTCCTATAGTGGCCTTTAGTCACTGCCTTGCAGGATCTTCTGTCCAAAGACTCCTGTCTGTCCGGCCATTGTTTGTATAGGCAGAGGAGGGCTCAGCCCCAAGCATCTGCATCTGATCTGCGTATCTCATTCCCCCATTCCAGGCATTGCCTACTCGGGGTGTCTGGCACAATGGCAGACAATGTCTCGTATTCAGTCACACAGGTCCCTCAACTGTCCCCCCCACAGCAACAACAAAAACGCAGATCTTCTGAATCAGAGGTGGGGGGGAAGAAGAAAGCTAAAACAAAGCACCTTTCTCAGAAGGGACAGTCTAAAACGGCTGAGCGAGAGGCTTTGAGGAGACATTTGGCTTTAGAAAGGCAAATTAGCAGGGCACAGAGAACCAATGCCAATGGGACAAATTTGGTTTCCCCTGTCCCAGTGGTGGCACCCAGCACAGAACCTACTGCCGAGGAAGTGCTCAAGACTTGGTCTCCTCCTGGGGAAACAGAACAGTTAGATTCCTCCAATCCCTCCTCACCAGCTTCTTCACCTGACCACACTCCAGCGCCTCACCCCAACGACAAGGCGCAGGAGAACATATGGTCGGCACAATTTCATGCATTCATGCAGGATGCATTCTCCCAGTTCATGGCTTCTAAGGGGCAAGTGGCCTTTCACACACTCCGTAAGGGATGGGCTAGGCCACCCCCTACCAGCATCTCTGAAACTTCCTCTCAACTGGGAGAGGGTGACTCAGTAGACCTTGACATGTCAGACATGCCCCTCTCGGAGGACGAGGAGACTGCACCTGAGCAGGCGATGAGCTCTGGCCTCTTTAACCCAGCGCTCCTAAAATCACTCCTGATAAAGGCAGTTTCCACAGTCAACCTAACATCAGTACAGGATGAGAAGCCCTCAACAAGCAAGGAGGCCAATCCTCTATTTGCCAAAAAGGTTCCACAAGATAAGTACATTCCATGTGCGGAGGTCTTTATGACCACGCTGGAGGAACAATGGTCCTCACTTGCAAGCCCACCGGCACCTAACAGCGCGGAAAGAAAGCTTTTCAACCTATCTCCCTCCTTCTCTAACATGTTAGAGGTTCCTACTGTAGATAACCCCTTGATTTCATTATTTTCTACCTCCGCGATTCCAGGAGACATGGCGGAGGTCTTGAGACCTGAGGAGAAGAAATTTGAACACTCCCTCCGGCGTTCCCATATGGCTGCAGCCTGGGCGGCCAGAGCAGCCACTTCATCATCATTCTTCGCGAGGGCCAGTATCATGTGGCTGAGGGAACTGCAAGGCACGGTGCCTCCAGACCAGGTCAGAGTACACCAAACATTGGCCAAGCTCCTCGCGGCCTCTCAATTCGTGTCTGACGCTTCACTGTACGCAACAAAGTATGCGGCAAAATCCATTGCGGCCACAGTGGCCTCGCGTAGGCTACTGTGGCTCAAAAATTGGAAGACAGATCTGAGGTCTAAATGGCGTCTTTCGACGTCCAAATACAGTGGAGTAGCCCTATTTGGTCCCATTCTGGACCCACATGTCAGCGAAGGCAGAGACAAGAAAAAAATCCTAGTACATCCATCAAAGAAGTTAGACAGGAGAGGCAGTCAGGACTTCCGGAGACAGGGCTCCCGCCCAGGGAGCCCCTGGGAATGGAGACAGCCCTTTCGATCAGGGCAGTCCTGGGACTGGCCCAGAGGCTCACGATCCTTCTACCCGAGACAGGATCGAACCCAGGATCGCCAAAGCCCGGGAGCCAGGGGCCAGTTCCAGTCCAGACGCCCATATAGGGGAGCGGGAGGCAGATCCTTTAAGCGTACCAAGTGACGCCAAACAGGATACTCCCATTGGGGGTCGGTTAGGAGATTTCATCGAGGTCTGGGAGCAGACCATGACCGACGCCTGGGTTCTGGAAACGATCAGGCATGGCCTGACCTTAGACTTCTGTTCTCCCCCACCAAACCGGTTAATCAGATGTCCCATCTCCAGAAGAGTACACAAGACAAGGCTGATAACTTCGGCCATAGCCCACCTCCTGTCAATTCAGGCCATAGAGAGGGTACCAAAGGAAGAGGAGGGAAGAGGATTTTATTCTATCCTCTTCGTTATCCCAAAGACATCAGGAGGGTGGAGAGCAATCTTGGACCTGAAGGGCCTGAACTATTTCATAAAGTACAGGAGGTTCAAGATGCACTCCTTGAAATCCATCCTAGCCAGCGTCAGGGAAGACGATCTATTATCCTCAATAGATCTCACAGAGGCGTACCTACACATCCCCATACATCCCAGCTACCGGAAATTCCTCAGATTTACCTACGCGGGTCGGCATTACCAATACAGGGCATTACCCTTCGGACTATCATCAGCACCAAGGGTATTCACCAAGATCCTAGCTGTAATAGCGGCCCATCTCAGGTTGATCCCGGTGCGCGTTCAGTTTTATCTGGACGACATCTTGATTCAGTCCAGATCTTGGGAACAAGCAAGGGCAGATCTCGAAACCACAATCCGAACCCTACAGGGGCACAGATTCTCGGTCAATCTAAACAAGAGCCACCTCATTCCCTCAAGGAGACTGCAACACCTGGGCGCGGTGATAGACACGTCACAGTGCAGGGTATACCTTTCCCAGGAGCGACTGATCAGCATATCCAAGCTAATTCACCAAATTCAAAGATCAGGAGAGTGCCCTTGCTACAACTCTCGAAGCTCCTGGGGAAGATGATATCTTGCATGGGCATCATCCCATGGGCAAGGCTCCACTCGAGGGAGTTGCAGTGGTTCCTCCTACCCTACCAGAGGAGGAACCTCAGCACCTCCAACAGGAGTGTGCTGGTACCAGCACAGGTGATGAAATCACTAAAATGGTGGCTATCCCCCACGACACTCAAGGGGAGCATATTCAGGGAACCGAACAGGGTCACACTCACGACAGACGCGAGCCTGTTCGGATGGGGAGCCCACCTGGGAACCCAGATAGCACAGGGCCAGTGGGGACAGGAGGACCTGTCACACAGCATCAACTGGCTAGAGCTCCGGGCCATACACCTGGCCCTCCGTCATTTCTCTCACCTAGTAACGAGGAGGCACGTCCTCGTGCTAACAGACAATGTAGCAGCCAAGGCACATGTAAACAAGGAGGGAGGAACGAGATCAGTGGAACTAATGAAGGAAGCATTGGCTCTGGCTCGGTGGGCAGAAACCAATGTGAGTTCCATCAGAGCGGAACACATCTCAGGGGAGACAAACACCCAGGCAGACTCCCTGAGCAGAGCCAAGGTGGACCAGTCGGATCGGCGTCTGGACCCGGTTCTCTTCGAGGAGATCTCCCGGAGTTTCGGACAACCGCAACTAGATCTGTTTGCCAACCACAAGAACACACAACTCCCCAGGTTCTTCTCCAGATTCCCGTCCCCGGGATCGGAGGGAACGGATGCTCTCAGGTGCCGGTGGCCGGCGCAACTCCTGTACGCCTTCCCACCGCTGCCATTAATACCGGCGACCATACGCAAGATGATCCTGGAGGGCGCAGAGATGGTCTGCATTGCCCCTCACTGGCCACGGCGCCCGTGGTTTGCCGACCTCATGGACCTGTCGATATCACCTCCGTGGAGGATCCCCCCGGACAGAGTAAAACTCAGTCAGGGCAAGCTTGTACACCCAGATCCCCAGTGGCTACATCTAGCCGCTTGGCATTTGAGCGGCAAAGCTTAACTAAACAATCTTATTCGGCAGGGGTGATATCGATCATACAGGCATCACGAAGAGCGTCCACTAATAGAATTTACGATGCTACATGGAAGGGATTTTGTAGGTGGTGCGCTTCGCTTCACCTAGACCCGACCGCAGTATCTATCCCTAACATCCTAGATTACCTATTGGAGGGTCTTAATAAGGGCCTGTCAGTCAATACTATCCGCAGACAGATATCGGCCCTCTCAACTGTACTCTCCTGCGACAACTTAACTTCCCTAGCACAACATCCAGCGATTAGTGCCTTTTTAAAAGGGGCATCTAACACAAAGCCCCCAGTCATACACAGGTACCCGTCCTGGAACCTGCCTAAGGTCCTTCTAGCCTTGACATCAGCACCCTTCGAACCTCTTGAAACATGCTCACTCCATCACCTATCACTGAAGGTAGCTTTCCTTGTGGCAATTACTTCAGCAAGGAGAATCTCAGAACTAGCAGCACTGTCAGTAAGGAAGGATCTGTGTACCTTTTTCAAAGACAGGGTCGTTCTTAGACCAGACCCGACCTTCATCCCGAAGGTAAATAGCATCTTTCACAGATCTCAGGAACTTACGCTTCCTGATTTCTGTCCAAGACCCAAACATAGGCTAGAACACAGATGGCACAAGCTAGACGTGCGGAGAGCGCTGTGTTTCTACGTGAAACGCACCTCGGCGTTCCGAAAGACTGAAGCATTATTTGTGTCCTTTCAACCATCAACTATGGGAAAGAAGGTATCTCCTTCCACCATAGGCAGGTGGATCAGAGCCTGCATAGCACAGGCATACGTCTCACAGGATTTGCCAGCACCCACTCAGGTGACTGCCCACTCAACTCGGAGCGCAGCCACATCTGCGGCGTGGCTAACGCAAGCTCCGGTGGAAGAGATTTGCAGGGCCGCAACCTGGTCCTCACCTTCGGTTTTCATTCGACATTACCGTTTAGACTCCCTAGCAGCAGCAGACGCGGCTTTTGGCAGAAGAGTTCTTCAACAAGTCGTATCTGCTCAGAGTTCGGTAGCCTAGACATTCCCTCCCAGGGGGACATGAGGGCTTTGGTATGTCCCATCCATTTGGACTCTACAGCCATCCTGCTGGAGAAGGGGCGTTGTCTTACCTGAACGCCTTTTCTCAGCAGGATGATGTAGAGTCCAAGCCCACCCAGAGGATAGGTCTAGGCAGGGAGATAATAATGATATAATAAAGAGCTGCAATGTTAATTCCAACAAAGTTTCTCGCCTAAGTCAAAACTGGGGTCACGCCCAAAGGAAGGGGTGTGGCCGAAGTTTTTACCCAGTCTGCCAGGCAGGAAGGCCGTCATAGAACCCATCCATTTGGACTCTACATCATCCTGCTGAGAAAAGGCGTTCAGGTAAGACAACGCCCCTTCTCATTTGACTTGTCTTGTTGGAAGTCGGCTGGGCAGGTTGCAAATTCCAGTCACGTGATACCCCTCCAGACACTGCAAGTGTCAGAAATGCACACTGGTTGCCGTGCACCCAAATTGCAATCACATCATCTCAGGGATGATGTAAGAATTGTAGCTTTGAGGATGGGTTGCAAGTCACTTTTTCCAAAAGCTGTTATAACTCTGAACTATGTAAGGACTAATTATAGTAGCTCCTACAATCCTTCCACTGTATGTTGTAGATGATTCCTGGTTTTTCTTCTTAGGCTACTTTCTGAGAAAGGAACACATATATAAGAGGAAAAACATTCCAAAATTCATTCCCTGAGTGGCAATTGGCAGCTCTCTTTAAGATATGAAAGAAAATTAGCTTTAATAATTCAAATTAATTAATCATGACCCTTTTCAAAATTTGTGTTCATGTCCTAACATTTTTTTTTTAAAGAAGGAAACCCCATTTCCCAGAGTTTATTTTCCAGCATGTAAAACTTTAGGTATTTGGCCTTCAAATTGTAGATTTCGATGAATCCCCTAAGTGAAATGATGCTAACACAATCTTTGCATGATACAGTGTTAAGTATTTTTGAATGCATACAGACCTTTTGTGTGAGGTTGTTTACAGATGAAAAATAAGAAAGCGGTGACTTGCAGCAAGTTGGTCATCCTTCCAGCTGATTCAATGCTGCTGAGGTAAATTGAATATGATCCAGAGTCCAAATTCTCTCCATTCATTTCCGATTAACTAGCTGATATCTCTGATGGGATTTCAAAAAGGGAAAGCGATTCCCTAAAGTACTACTCTACTTCAGTCTTTTTTCCTTGCAGAATGAAAAAGGAATTCTTTCCATGTGCATGAGGTTGTTCCTCCCTTCATTCTGTATATTGCGCCTTTCTTCATAACTGAATATTTGGGAGTGATAAGCTCCTGAATATATCATGCATGGAGTTACTTCTCTGAAGGAAAAGGAAATAATCACCCACAATTCTGTCAACAAACACAGAGCATGGTGTTGGGGAGTGTTGAAAGAAAACTCTTCATCAGGGTCCAGTCCAAGGCGGGAATAATCAAAATGGAGATTGCTTCAGAAAGAAGGTTGTAGTTTATTGAAGAGGAGAGCCAGACAGAAAGATGGCTCTGGAAAAAACTGACCACGTGGAACAGAGCGGTGGGCTTTTATACGTTCTGGAGCTCTTGAGATTGTTTCCTGTTCCTGTTTGAGGCGTTGCATTTCCTGTGTCATGTACTTTGACCTGAGTCTGAGTGTGCCCTTTTGGTATTGGTGGGTTAATCCTATTAAGTCCTATTTTAGAGTTTGGGTGGGGTATGTAGATTTTAAGGGTCTTTGTCTTCCTAATTTCTTCAGTTTCTATCCTGAAGGCTCCAACCTTGCTGAAAGGATTATTGAATTTGCATTTCTAAAAGCTGGCTTCTGCCTAGGGGCTGGGCTGATTTCTGAGAGCTGTTTTCTGTCTTTTTTTAAGATCGTCTCCATTATCTCTTTGTGGAAATATATTCTGCCTTTTTAATATTTCCCAAAATATTCTTCCACAGGAGAGAGAGTGATACTTCTTTAGGCCAGGAGCAGAAGCCTTTTTACAGTACTTCATATCCAGCTTTCTGCCAAAGATTCTAAATTCCTGTGTTCAATTTGGAAGGATAGTGTGCTACAAATTTTATGCCAAAATAAATGTATAATTTTAAAGGAATTACAAATCAGTTTATTTCTCTTATAGAGCAATGAACGTTCTACATTTACTCTTATCATTAAATATCTTTCATACCGATATAATCTTCATGCTTTAATGAAACTTTATTTTGAATAAGTTTTCTTATTATCAACAGGGTCAAAAAAGCGTCCATGTAAAGTTCTATTTGAATATACTCCTCAGAATGAGGATGAATTAGAACTGAAAGTAGGCGACATTATAGACATGAATGAAGAGGTAAGGTTTTTTAAATATTTTTTGTGAAAAATTAAATCTGAAAGTCATAATTGAATTGAACTCTAGAAACTTCTGTTTTGCTATTATAATTCCAAACTATCAAAAAGACAATGACTGAAGATTTCTATCTTACAATTAACTAGACAGTTATTATAGTTCTTATTTATGATATATGCTTGAAGGACTGAAAAATTGAAATAGGAAAGTTAGGTCTGATAATGTTATTATATAGAGATTTACTGTAGTAATTAAAATAGTAGAAATGAGAAGCTCATTAAAAAATTTTAATAAAAATATGTTAGTCTCAAAAGATGCTAATCACGCTTCTGATTTTTGTCTGCCGTTGACTAATATAGTTCTCCTTCTACAATGTCTGTTAAGACTAGGGAGACCCAAAAATCTATTCTGATCTAGAAGTATCTCCAATTTAATTAACCTTGCAGGTTTGTTCTAAGAATAAAACTGAGGGCAAATAAGAACCATATAAACCAATTCTAGTTCATGCATTAGTATAAATGGAATAGAAAATTATTTTAGATATTTTCATTTCTGTATTGTTTTCACTGTGAAAAAGATAAAGACTACAATTGACTCTATAAATATCTTGTTTACCAACTGCCTTGTGTGACTTCAAAGTTACAATGGTGCTGAAAAAATAACTCTGTGACCAAGGCATGCACTGACGATCTTCAATGTGTTTGTCTTGGTCACATGTTTGCTATTATAATTGGTACACATTGTCCTGTGCCTGACCCATTTTTTTTTCTTTTTTCCCCTCTGACAGAGTGAAGAGATTGCTTAAACAAGTGATCTCTTCCTGAGCTGTTTTTCTCTGCAGTGCTTCCCGAAAAGATGCTAACTGCAAGTTAACAAGCTCAGTTTTGTTATCTTAATTATCTTGCTCCCAGCTGCTGCCTACAACTGACAATACATTTTCACACCTTGGGCTTTTGTTTGCCTCCTAACCATGGGTACTTAGAGTCACAGATGCATTAGGCAGACAGCTGCTGCTAGCACATTCCTTTCCATGTGTATTCCCCATTGTGTGCCTGTTTACTCTCTTGTAATCCCTTCCTCTCCAGTGAATGTAAATACCAACATTAAATCTCATCTTGGTAATTATCCCAGTGCTGGTTTGAACATTCCGAAGGCAGGGAAGTAATGCTAAAGGCACACTGAAGTAAAATTGTAAGCATAAAAGCAGTCATGTAATTTTCTTCTTAGTGACCGCATTACTTAGCCACTGAGTTGTCAGTGCCAATTATGTTCACTAAATGAGGAGTACTTGTATTGCAGATTTTTCAAAAACTCCACTTGTACATCCTCAGGAAAAAGAAATATGCTACAGATCTTACAAGCCATTGAAACAGTTCTTTTCTCAGCCTTCTTAGAATTTTCATCAAGCTTACCTTCTAAACTGCCTGCTTACAGTAGTTTTCAGACTCCTTAGAACTTAACAGTCAGTGACTAAGGGAAAAGAAACCTAAAGGTTGTTCTTTTTTCCTCCAATTTATGCTGCCATCGTATTTTCTCTCTTCATAAAAAACTGATTGCAAGACATTGGTCCAGAATGTCTTTGCTTTGTTATTTGTAAAAAAGGAGTTTGGTTATACTTTATGTTCAGTATAAAGTTGAATAGAGTGGTATTACCCACTGCTCTGTTTTCTTTATGATACTAAGATACGGTTATGTAGAGCAATTTCTATCCATTTGTGAGTGACTTATCCCTTGTCCAACATCACTATTCCTTGCCTCACATGCTCTAACCCATGGGTGTCCAACTCACTGTCACGTGATGTGTTGCAACCTATTATGACTTTTTTTCACATTGCTGGAGCAGGGATAGGCACGGCCTCTGCATGATGCAACCGGCCCTTGGGCTGCCAGTTTGACACCCCTGCTCTAACCGTTTAAGTATATGTACTAGTCCTGCATATTTAATGTACTCCTGAATTCCTGTATATCTCTGATAGTATTTTTGCTCCAATGGTAAGAACAGTGAGCATCTTTTCTTTTCAGGTTAGAGGTAATCCAACCACATTTTTCTCCACAGGTGGAAGAAGGCTGGTGGAGTGGGACTTTAAATGGCAAGACAGGCCTTTTTCCTTCTAACTTTGTAAAAGAACTAGAGATAACAGATGATGGAGAAATACAAGAAAGCTTAGAAGACACAGGTAATAAAGGCAGGCAATCAGAAGATAGACTAATTATCTGGATTTCTTTCTGTCGGTTTCAGGCTGGGATTCAAAACAAGGACAGCTTTGGTCATGCTTGCTGATGATTTGGTGGAGCCAGGATGGAGTGCTGTATGCATCTTTGCTCTCCCTGGTCTATTAGTATCTTTTGATTCTGTTGATCATGGTGTCCTTCTGGACCAACTGTAGGGCTTAAAAGGTGAAGGCTCTGTAATGTGGTGATTCTCCACCTTTTCTCAGCAGTCAGTTCCAGGTGGCATTGACTGGAATCATAGAATCATAGGGCTGAAAGGGACCTTGGTGGCTTTCTAGTCCAACCAAGATTGTGCCCTCTGCCCCTTAACTGTGGGATACCTTAAGAATCGATGCTTTCTCCTTTTGTTTACCATTTATATGAAGCTGCAGGGAGACGTCATCCATCAGTTTTGGAGTCTGGTATGTGTAATACTTTACTGGTTAGCCAATAGGCCATTAGGCAATACAAGATACAGAATAGTAATAAGATCATGTGTTTAAAAAATAGAATAAAAGACATAAGTACTGCAATGTGTTTCTGCCCTTGAAGATCACTCAAAAATTACAATTGGTCCCAAATGCAGAGGTGCACATAGAATTGGGTGTTGGTAGATTTGCCCACATTGCATCTGTATTGCATTTCAATTCAGCATGTTGGATTTCACTTTTAAATGGCATGGGATCTGATTGTTTGCAGGACAGTCTCCCCTTAAGAATATCTGCCTATATCTCCAGATTAGGTAGGATAGGTACGCTCCAGATTCCTTCTCTGAAATCCTGCCACTTAGTGGTTTCTCAGAAATGTGCCTTTTCCATGGCTGCCCTGACCTTATGGAACACTCTCCCCTGATGATTTGACAGCCCCCACCCTTTTAAATTTTTGGAAGACTTATCAAAATATGGCCTTTTACCCAGGTGCTAAATTAGAATAGAATAGAGCAGAGGCCCCCAACCTTTTGGGCACCAGGAACCGGTTACGTGGAGAGAGATTTTTCCGCAGAGTGGAGGGGGTGTGGTTTTGTGTGCTGCCTGCATTCTGTGGATGGGGCTTTCCTTGTTTGTGCGGACCGGTTGCTGGCATGCTGCAGCCCAGTACTAGTCCACGGACCGGGAGGTGGGGACCCTTGGAATGGAGTACATAGAATAGAATAAGAGTAATTGGAACTGGCTGCAGAGCATCCTAAGGGATTGTTAGGTTAAGGTTGTTATTTTTTAAAAAAAAATATTTTACTGATGTTTTAACATAAACCTTAATATTTGGTAGACAGTGTGTTGTCTGGGCTTATATTTGCAAAGTAATCACTAACAATCAGTTTCTATATTCCAGAGTCCACATAATAGCTTTGCTTGATTTTCTCTTCTTCCAGTAGTATTCTCTTTGCCAACGTTGAATTGATACAATCCTTATTAGTTTGATAGGTAACAATTAAATAAAGATTTTTCTAAAATTTCTACAAATAATAATCGCATCAATATCATGCTTCTTTTTTATCTGGTCATCTTGGTTGCTTCGTCATAAATCCTGCTTACAATTCTTATTTAAATTTGTTTTCCCTACAATGTTCAAACATTCTTACTGGTTAAGATTTTCTCAAGGTTAATTACATCTAAGTATTTAAATCTATTTTCCTCGTACAGGCCATTCCACACTTTTACATTTCTCATGTCTTAAAAAGTAAAAAAAAAAAAAAAAAGACAAAAAAGAGAGAAAAAAATAGAGAAAAGAATAAGAAAATAATATACTACTTAAAATACATATCCCTCTTAAACTAATATACATTTATCTCCAAAGTTTTTCTGTTCATTTTATGATCGGGTCGAATGCGTCTCTCCATGGTCCACAGGACTTCCTTCTTTGCCGCCTCTTCGGGGCGACTTCTGGCTCATTTAGCGTCCCCTAACAGGCAGAAAATCAGCCGTAGGGTGCGAAGCCATAGGGTGTAGATCCATTGGCTGCTGCACTACTGCGCAAAACCAGAAGCCTGCTTAAGGTTGTTATTTTTGTTTGACTATTTTTTGGACTTATGGTTATATTTTATGATTATGGGGTTTTATTGCTTTATGAGCTGCATTTTTCTGTGCACCCCTACAATTTACCGCAATCACACCCATCATCAATATGTGAATGATATTCAGGTGTACATTTCTAGCCAGCCAAGTGATGCTTGGCTTCAGTGTCCTGTCCCCGTGTCTGTGTCTGAATTCCTTATGCAGGTCTGGATGGGGAGGAAGATATCCAGGCTCACTCATCTCAAGACTGAGTAGTTGTGGATTTTTTTATTTTCCCAAACCTGGAGACTTTCCTCCTTAGTCTTAAATAGACTTGCACTAGTGAACAACTTGGGGTCGTCTTGGACTCACATCTTTTGCTCAAAGAGCCAAGAGGCTAGTGATCACCTATATCTCCATGGCATAGGACCAAGTTATTTGAGAGGCTACCTATCTTCCCTTGTTTTCTCTGCCTGGTTGGATTGATCTCCTCACTCAACTCCATCTATTAGGACTCAGACCTTCTTTGTTGCAACACCTGCCTTCTGAAATACTGTTCCCCCAGTGATCCACATAGTTTCCATTTGGATGATGTTCTGGATGTCTTTAAAAGCATGGCCTTGGAGCAGGGTGTTTGTGGAGCTCCTGCTAGTTGTATTTCATAGTTATAGATATAGAATATGGCTTGTTCAGAAGCATATAATTTTAAAAATTGTTTTCTATTTTTAAGTGTATGCTTCACAATCATTCTGGAATTGGCAGTTCTAAATTGCTATTACTCTAAATTAGTAATAGTATCATTTCTATGGAGTGCAATTGAAGATTAATTTTAGTTAATTGTATGCAATGCTTAACCTCAAGCACTCTTATAAGTCTATTTAGAGATACTGTTTGCTCAAAGCTAAAAGTGTGGAAGTATTTGAAGAATTCGAATTGATATGAGGTTCCTCATTACATGTTACTGTATAGTTTTAGTGAGATCCAAATTTGTTTTGACCAGCAGCCCAGTCATGACAGTGTGATTGTCATTAAGTATTGCTACATTTGATTGCATATGCCAAGGATAGACTCATCTGTGGTTAGCCTATACCTGAATTGTCTTCAAGCCATATTCCTGAATAGGTTAATTCCAGTTATTAATACTTGCTTCTTTCATATCACGTACAGCCTTGAGAAGGGAGGAGAATCACACTTGGAGAAGAGAATCACATTGAAGTTAGGGCTATCACTTCATTCACTTTGGGCGCTGTACCCACATATAAAAATATGGTCTGCCATCAGATTTAACCATGATAATGAAATTTTAATTAAATTATATATCTCTGATTAAGTGGCCCTAATGAAAAGTACACGCATGATGTATTACAGTTATTGTCAAATAAGTATTTTTGTGTCTTGTAAAATTTTGAATGTTAAGAATTTACTTATACATTTATAGAAACAATTTTAGTGCTTCCACATCTGTAATCTTATGATATTTGAATTGTATCCCTAAATTTGTCTTAATAGATGTAAACTATTAATACTCAGATTGAAAGTATCTTCAACCAAAGAGTAGAAAAATATAAGTTATGGTGAAGTTTTCTCTTCCTGTCCTCTTTATCTGTTCACAAGTAATAGGGAGAATGGTTCCTGTTGATAACAATGTTATGGCTTTATACTGTGATTTTTAAAATAAATTAAAAACTTAATTTTTAAGTTTTCTCGATTCCTTCCTTCCTCCCTCCCTCCCTCCCTCCCTTGCACTGGGGTAACATAAAATCACCATGTAATGGAACCTGATCATTAGATCTGAGACAGAGTTGAAATCAAGGGCATCCTTGTGAAAACACCCTTGATTGTCTCAGAATAGATGATTTTTCATATTTATGCCTTGTGGAAGCTTTGGCTTCAAACTTCTGGAGGCTGGTTCCCCTGCGAGGTTCAATAATGTTACAATAATCTGGGACCCTGGCAGAAAACAAGAGATGTTTCCTAAAGCACATTTTATCCACATGACCCAATGTTTATTTGGGTCAGTGACCCAGCCAAATTTAAAAATCCAGGCAGTCCTCACTTGCTGATCACATCAGTGACCATTTGAAATTGCAATGAAGCTGAATGAGTGCTACCTACAACTGGTCCTTGAAGTTCTAGCCATTGTACCACCTTCCGGCCATTACACCACCTACCAACTCGCTTCCCACAAGCAAAGTCAATGGAACAGCTGGTAGAGAAGGTCACATGTCATTCTGCTAGATTCCCCTGGCCTCTGTGCCCTCACCAATCATCCTCACCAATCATTCCCCCAGCCTCCCTGCATTTCTCTCAGCCTCCTTACACTCGAATGGTGGCACACCCTGCTTTCTTTGGCCACCCTGCATTCGCACAGTGCTGCACTTTCTTGCCTCCTTGTGGTTGTGCATGGCCTGCACTGGGTCTTCCTTGCCTCCATACCTGCTCCCCATTTAACAACCTGCACTTCTTGGGCTTACAATGACAATTGGCACTGCCAGGATTGCTACTAAGTGATGCTGTCACCTGAGGTGCTTTACAACCACATCATTTAACAAAATCCCAGTCCGTATTGCCATCGTAACGTGACTACTATATACAACACAAATGGTTGAGCTAAAACATCAACATAACAAAGAGTCTCTATAATAAAAAGTATAACATAAACTACCAAAATGAGACCCACAGTGGTTAATGCGGTGGGCTAGAAACTGGGAGACTGTGAGTTCTAGTCCTGTTTTAGGCATGAAGCAATCTGGATGACCGTGGGCCAGTCACTAACTTTGAGCCCTAGGAAAGAGACAATGGCAAACCCTTCTGAAATGTGAATACGCATCGCTTATCTTCATGCACGTTGCGCAGCAGCCTCTACTCATACAGTGGCGCACTATTAGCCAGAATATGGGAGATATGGGGAAAAGACTGGAAATAAATTATTTGCATCGATATGTCCTGATGACAATTTTAAAGAAAACAAAACAAAATGTTTGCATAAATCGAAAAATTATTTCCCATGTTGTGATTGAGAGCTTATGTTGGGGGAGGGGGGTGATGACAACTTCCTCATTGGCTCGAGGGGGCGATTCATTCAAAAAGGTTAAGAACCACTGGACTAGATGACCTCCAAGGTCCCTTCCAACTTTATTATTATTATTAAATCCTCTGACTCTTTTTGGAATGTACATATTATTAAGGACAGAGTGTAAGTGGACCTAATATTCCTATAGAATTTACAGTTCAAGAGATCCTGCATTGAAAATCCCAATGTTAACACATACTTAGGGGGGTCCAGTTTAAATTAAGTGCTAACCTAGTTTTTCCATTTTTAGAATCTGTTTTTCATGGACCACAGTCTCCTGCAACCTCACCAGGGAATGGTAGTGAGTCTCCACAAATAGCACAACCAAAGAAAATCAGAGGAGTTGGGTTTGGAGATATTTTCAAAGAAGGCTCAGTAAAACTTAAGCCGAGATTGTCTAGTAATGATTCAGAAGAAAAAAAACAAGATAAGGTAATGGGCCTAAATGATACACATTTCAAAATGGAGCAATTGTATATGTTGTGATAAAAAGCTTGGTACCTTGTGCACTTGTAAAAACAAAGTTGTTTACTTTTTGACGAAGGTTATTCTGCCTCTTCTTAAGTTTCACAGTAACATTATTCTTCAGTAATGGGTGCAATGCACCATCTCATTGATACCTTTTTACCTTAAGCAGTTTATTGTATTCTCCAGATGTTTAAAATTCTATTCTTAGGTATAATTTGGGAAACTTTGAAAGCCAGTATGGTCTGTTTGACAAGGAGTTGGAAAATGTATGTTCTAGTCCATCCTTAGCCACAAAAGCTCACTAATTTTGTCACAATCACTCTTAGCCCAAACCGCCTTTCAAGTTGTTATGGAATAAAGTGAGAGATCGCTGTGGATGCCTACTTTTCCCCCTGAGTTAAAGGTGGGCTACAGTAAAAAAAATCCTGCATAAACTATCATTTGAAAACTATCATACTTGAAAAGAGATTATGGGGTTTCAGGAGTAGGGCAAACTGCAGCAAAGAACTCATTGGGAGTCAGGCAAATTGAATGGATAAGTCACTAAAAGGAAACAAAAGCTTCCAAATGCCTTTTCATGTTTATACCAGTAAAATAGTACATGAGATGTCAGTAGAAATGGCAGGGGATGGGTGGGAATCTTCCATAGGATGACTAGATTTTTGAAAATTTGAAGGAAAAATATGAAAACACTCACTTAGTCTGACTATTTGTTGGGTACATCAAGCAGTGCAGATTGCTGTTCTGTAAATGATGGACTTAATTGCATCATTGGGTCAGCTGATGATAAAAGTATGTCAAGGCTTTTTGCTTTTAAGTCCCAGGAAAAATAACCCTTGTGTAGTTGTGCTTCCATTGCTCAAAATCCATTTGGGAAAAAGTTATAGTTTATGTTGTAGTTGTACCTTTTACCACAAGCCAAGCAAATTTTTAAAGGATACTTGACCTTTTTAAACTTTATGGCCAACCATGTATAGACATTTGATCTATACTTTCTTCTTTTATGCAATCTCTTTATTTTTAAAAAATATGTTAAGTCTTCATGTGTATTATTGGGATTTATTATATATAAACACTTTACACCTACATGTTTGTGTATATATATTTTGGCAGGAGTAATTGTAGTTTCTAATATAAAAACATTTGCAAAACAGACTTTAGAAGTCTTTTGCAGGTAGTAGAGCTTTGTTTTATTGTCGTGTGTAATTTCCTTCCAGTTATTCAAAGGTTTGTCCTGCCTTGTGTATTTTATATGATTTCTTATATTTAATGTTGCCATCTGTCATTAGATGAAGCTGTTGTTATTCCAGTAGTGTTGAAACTTTAATAGCCATTAATAACTTCTAATGACAAAACATGGAATGCTAATAAAGATGAAACACGTCAAAGTGCTAAATTTGGAGAAGATGAGCTGATATCGACAGAAATCAGAAGGCTGGCTCAGAAAATAGATTATATCTTAATAAAATATGCTTTGACTTGCAGCCTATTATTAGTCTTTCTAATAGATTGATAATATTTTCATTTAGAAGCAGTATTTATTTCATTGCATTTAAATGCATTGAAAAAAATCTTCTATTAACTTCTTGTTCTGTAAGATTTATAACTTACAGTTTATTCTTCTGAGCTGATTCAGAGATCACATATTAAAATACATTTGGCAATTGCCTAATTCTTGTTTTTATCTCCATGTTCTTGTGTAGCCATTACCTAATCTTCCATCTGGACCAAAAGTAACCTCACTCCCTGGCACAACAAAATCAGAAATGGCAACAGAAATAGCAAAAGTAGAAATGGAAAGCAAACAAAAACGTATGGTTTTATATCTACTTTATTTTAATTTTAAAATCTTTAAATATAAACTGTATGATAAAAAAAACTATTTGTCAAAAGGCAGATAATTTATTCCTGGCTTTTTGAAGAAAATATTCTCACAACCTGGGCGAGGAATATATATCCTAATAGTAATTTTCATTTGAGTTCAGTGTGTTTGAGTAGTGTAATCCTGCCACACAGCTAGAATCTTACCTTCACAGCTAGAATATCTTAAGCATGACAAGGCATCAAAGCAACTTGTCAGATAGTTTGTGTAGCAAAAACGTGATCATAATTTTCCATTATAAATCTTGGTTTATCTAGTAGAATGTTAGATTTTCCCTTGACTTTGCTCTCCTTTATCTTTTCTGAACTGAGGACTTCAGTAAATAATTTCAATAACTTAGTTGCTATTATTTCTCAGCCGATTCCTTGTCTTATTTCAATTGCTCATAAACAAGGGGAAGGTCAAATATCCTCCTATTCCATCCTAATGATTTTGTGGAGTGATTTTGTATCCTTTACTAGCATAGCTTTTAAATTATTAATAGCAATGTGCCATACTTCATGGTAAACCAATACAGATTAAATACATAAAATATAGTAAACCTTGGACTGAAGTAATATTGGTTTAGTGGACTGTGAATACAATGAGCAGAATCTTTCTGTGATTCATATCTGTATATGTATTACCATAATTCTATCAGTGATTTTGTGCATGTGTAAAATATGCATGCATAAAATACATATGCACAACATTCAATTCCCATATGCATGTGCAAGATCCCATTCAGATTTAATAAACATTCCACTTTAAGTGACATCTGATCTCCCCATTAATTACTTATTATAAAATTTAAATATTTGTATTCAAACAACAACCATTGGAATGTGCTCAGTGTTCACAACTTTCATTCCTTCCTTTAAGCTAAAGAATACTGCAAAGCCTTGTTTCCCTATGAAGGTACCCATGAGGATGAACTTAATTTTAAAGAAGGGGATATTATCCAAATAATAAATAAGGTAAGTTATTTATATTTAAATATCAGTCCTCGACCTACAACCACAGTTGGGTCCAGAATTTCTCTTGTAAGTCATGGTGGTCATAAAAATGAGTTATGGCATGATTGGATCCAATTTTATGTCCATGTTTACTATGGTCATTAAGTGAATCCAGCTTCCCTAATGGATTTTTGCTGTTTTTTGCCAGAAACTAGCAAAAAAGGTCACAGATCATAATCACATGACTGCATGATGTTGCAACTGGTGGTAAGTGCCAGCATTGTGATCACGTGACCATAGAAGTAGTGCAAGGGTCGTAATTTCAAGTACAGGTCATGAAGCACGTTTTCTGTGGCCAGAACCTATCTAGAGGACTGTAGCCTAGATATATTAATACCTATATCATAAAAAAGAGGCAAGGAAAATCCCAAGAATTAGTGACCAATCAGCCTTTTAAATATTCCTGTTAAATTTTATGTCAAGATAGTATTAGACAGACTGGAAGACGGAATGGAGACTAACAAAATTATTTATAATGAACAAGTAGATTTCAGGAAGGGTCAGAGCATGTTTGACAATTGTCAGGTTTTCTTTTTATCTTCTACATATGAGAGCAGTACTACAAAACATTTGAATGTAGCAACTACAAATTTGTCTGCATACTTTGACTCAATAGAAGTAGGTTATTGATGAAATTAGTTAACACTAGCACAGATAACAATCTACTGAATCTTTTGCAGCAGTTCTCTTCGATTATATTTACCAGAATGAAATAGATTTATGTAGATTGCTCTCTTAAGCAATATCAACAAAATAAGGAGCAAAGCAAGGCTCAATCCTCACACCAATATTGTTTATTACTTATACACATTTCATTCCTTCTCATATGTCAGCTTCTCTAGAAAGTTTCCATTATATCCCACACTGGTAATATAGTTATACTCTCAATAACAAGAGTTGAGTTGAAAAAATGTTTAAAAAGCTAGGGCAGTGGTGGCGAACCTATGGCAGGCGTGCCACAGGCGGCACTCAGAGCCCTCTCTGTGGGCACGCATGCTGTCACTCCAACCCCACCTCCCACCGCAGCCCCCTCCTCACCAGCAACCCCTCCAGAGGAGAGTCACCCCGGAGCGTGACCCATGCAGAGTAGTGCAGCCAAGGACATGGCAGCCAGGACAAGATTTCACCCTTATGCCCTGTCGCACTCAGTTGATGCTGCGGGGCACGGGCAGAGGGCGTGGCTACCATGGGGCTGCTGGGCCACCTGGGCGATTTGCGGCAGGCCGTGGAGGCGGTGGGTGGCCCTGTGGGTGGGCAAGGGGTGGGTGGAGCAGGGGCAGAGTGGGCAGGGCAGGGGCGGAGCAGGCAGGGGCGGACGGGGTGATTTTTGGGCACTCAGTCTCTAAAAGGTTTGCCATCAGTGAGCTAGGGCATTACAGGTAGTCCTTGTTTAGTGATCACAACTGGGACTGACAAGGCAGTTAATCAAAGCAGTCACTAAGTGCAAGTGCACTTTCCTTTGCTTTACAGAGGTCATAAATGTGAACATTAATACCTTTTCATTGTTGTCATAACTGTGAACAGTTCTTAAACAAGGGCTATCTATATGTGCAAATAAACTTATGTAGTTATTCAGCATGTGTACACATATCATTACCTCATGAAGTGGTATGATATGTTCAATGGAGTCTTCATACAGGCTAAAACAAATTGTTTTAGCAGTTCTATGCTGAGCAGGAGATTTGACTACATGACCTTTGAGATCTCTTCTAACTTATGATTCCACACGTAGTGAAAGAGTTCCAGCACAATACTTTATTGAATTAGAAATGGTTATCAAAGGAAACTTTTGGTCAGCTGTTTCATTTTAACATTTGAGAAGGAAAGGATCAAGTAACAAGGAAGTAAAGCATTGGCTTGGCATTAATTATCATGGGATGCCTTCCGACATAATATTTGCCACATCGGTGATGAACATTTTATAGCTAAACATACCAATACAAAGGGGATAGTTTTAAATCATGGTTTTTGATCAAGCCATGATGGGCTGATTCACACATCACTCAAGTCAAAAGCAAAGAAACCAACACATATCAGGCCTTAGATTTGTAGGCAGGCAAAAGTATTCATTGTATATTTCACCTATTCCTTGTTTATCCCTTCATTCTATGCATATGTTTTAGATGAATTTCTGCAAGGATATACTCATGGGAAAAAAATGAAACCAGGAAGTACAAAGTTTGCATAATCATTTGTACTTCTTGCAAAGTAACATTTGCAGCCAATAAGTTGACATCAAACCGTGTTCCAAGCTGGTTTATGGTCCAAGAGTAAATTCTTGTTTATTCAGTGATCATGTGCATGCCCCATATTAAGTCTTAAAAACTAGCACATATGTAATGGCTTAGTGCAATATGTGGCTCAATTTCTAAAAAACTGCAATTTAATGTAAGCTGGGTGGTTAGATGATGAAGTCTGAAAATTTATGTGTGGTGTAAAACGAATATACATTTAGTAATTTTTTTTTAGGACACTGGGGAGGAAGGATGGTGGAGAGGCTTTCTTAATGGTAAAGAAGGAGTTTTTCCAGATAACTTTGCAGTTCAGATTCATGAATCTGATAAAGATTTCCCTGTAAGTACTTATTGCAGTTTTTAAAAAGTTATAGCTCTTCTTTAAAAAGCTGATTTAATAACCAAGTGGTGTGTTTTGTAGATCCATAAATATGCTGTTCAGATTTTTTTTTCATAATTCAATTCCATTTTCCTCATTTAATTTTTTGGGCCTTGCAATTGTTCTGTTAATATAACATTGCCATAAAAATGAGCTTTTTGGAGAAATCTTATCTGGGTGACATTGGTCCAGTCATTATCATGTGACCTAACCTTTCTCATAGATCTGCTATGAAGAGCAATGAAGTGATCTTGGAAGATGGGATTGAGACAAACACTAGCCCTGTTCAGCACTTCCAAGTTCAGTCTCCAAAAAGTGCTTCAAAATATGCAGGGCCATGGATGCAACCCCTGTCTTCAGCATCTTAAAACAAATGCTCTGCACTGCTTTAAGGTCATGCAGACAAATGCCTCATTTGCACCGCCATCACTCTGAAGCTTCTTTTGGAAATGTGAACCCAAAGTGATGCGTGCCTATAATAATGTTAGCACTTTCGTTTTTGGCTCTGAAATATTTTTAATTCAAAAAAAGATCCTGGCTTGGATCTTTAAAATCCTTAAAACCCTCAGCAAAATTAAACTCATAATAATCTAATTTTTCTTCCTGACCATGAGTTACTCTTGAACTGTGTGTTTGGGTTATCAGAAGGTGTGGTGACTGGGGATTACGGAAATCTTTCTAAAGCATACAGAATAATGTATATATGTAAAGAATAAGTAAATGCAACTTGCAGTAGTGACAAGGAGCATTTGAGAAAGGTGTTACAAAACACATTGTATACTTGGAATTCTATAAATGACTTTAACAAACTTACAGAACAGATTCCTGAGCAAATTTTGACAGGTACCCCAGAGACAGGTGGTAGAGTAGGAATAAAAAAATAAATGAAAAATAATTAAATCAGAGAAGTTCAGGGTAATCTCGTCCAGGATCTGGTATCAAGAATAATACTAATTAAGGGTTTAAAAGCAATTTGAAGTTAGAGGTGAAATGGCCTTAATAATATCGAATGGTAGTAAAAAAAAATTGCTAAGGGCAAAATGTTGTCTTCAAATTCTTGCTCTTTTGATCAGTCTAATTTACTTAATTTCTTAATTGTATTTCACCAGCAAATTGTAGACAAGGCCCAGGAAATGTTCTGAATGTTGTATTACAAGTTTTGTTTTTTTAAATTCAGTCAGGTCTCTAGTTGTTATTGTAGATACAATTCAATGAACCTGAAAAATTGGGTTCATTGTTGTTTTGTTCCTGGATGGCTACAAATTTTTTCAATTAACTTTCTATGTCAGTTGCACCTTTTTCTGAAGAAGTGTAGCTAACAATAGTCACCTGTACGTTAATCTTACCTTCACAGATACTCTCTTACAGTGCTTTTTTTGTTAAAAAAAAAAAAGGTGCCCGAACTCACACACATCATACAACCCGGACTTGCCTACCCTACAAGGTTCCATCCAAAAAAGGTGCCGGAACTCCATTCTCGGCATTCTGTGACAAAAAAAGCCCTGCTCTCTTATTTCTAAGTGGTTAGTAATAAAACTTCTGCTTATGGAGAATGAGAGATTTCTGAGAAAGAAGAGTCTCCTTTGGCAAGATGGATAGCACACAATTTTGATAGATAAGCAAATAAAATAGAGGAGAAAGAGAACTAGTTGTTTATTCTCTGCCTCCTCTGCTTTCTCGGCAATCATTTTCCTGATCATTTTCAAAAACCTTGGTTCTGCCTAAGGAGCTATTTGTAATCCTTGCACCAGTAACCCTATAGACCAGTGGTTTTCAACCTTTCTAATGCCGCGACCCCATAATACAGTTCCCCATGTTGTGGTGACCCCCAACCACTTATACATCACTGGGTGCCAGGGGCGTGGCCAAAGAAAAGGGGGAAAAAATGGCGGACAGCCTTGTTTGGCGACCCCCGTGAAATCGTCGTTCGACCCCAAATGGGGTCCCGACCCACAGGTTGAGAACCACTGCTATAGACAGTACAATGGAGCTATTGAGAATACCTGTGGTCTTCTGGGTCTTAATTCAGGAAAATACTTGGCATGAATATTATTCATTTATATTTTGTCCTCTTTGCAGAAGCCAAAGAAACCACCACCTCCTGCAAAAGGTCAAGGTATGTCTGATAGGCTTTTATTAGACCATAATTGCAAAAGAGAGTGTAGTTGATTGGAAATTATTAATATATTCTGAGTGAAAAAAAAATCTCAATCAGAATTATTCCTTTTTAACATGTTGCCTATGAGATGAAATCCATTCGTACGCAAAGTGTCTTGAAATATGGACAGTTTTTATTATTGGAAACAATGATGTGGCATCTTGTGAGCCATCACTTTCTGCTATACATATAGATACTTAGGTCTCGATTAGTGCACTTAACAAAGCCCATGAAATGGGATTCCACTATAGTATTCAAAGTAATAGTTGCATGGAAAATAAGATAGTTGGTTCCAGTTCAACAGAAATTGACAATTAAAAATTCTAAATATATTTTTATATGTTTATTAATGAAAAACCATATAACACTAAAAGAGGATAAACCCATACCCAAAGTATATATGGTATCTGTTGTATTCTGCTGTAGTTCTTCACAATGAGCATTTTCTTTTCTCTGTTTTTCACACACAAAGATTCACACCTATAATCTCGATGGTAACTGCTCACATGCCAGTCACAACTGTATGTGCGCTAGCCTTATACTAGCTAAATTTGGTTCACACTAAATGTAGCCTAGTATTTTATGAATCACAATCAAATTGTGCAGTATTCAGACTCGTATTAATTATGACCTATTATTTATTTATTTATTTATAATTATTTATTTATTGTTTTTATTATTTATTTATATTATTTATTTATAAATTCATGACTTCTACGAATACAGATGAGATAATCCTAAGCATACTTCCATGTAATAGTGTGTAACTATTTTTTTTTCTATATCTTTTTAACGATATATTCAGTTGTACAAGTTTTAAAAAGCTACGCCATGAAACAATTCTTGTTTTTAAAATTCTTATGCTGGTCAGCACTTCTAAATAGATTTCTATTTCTGCCACATATTTGATAGATGTAAAATACATTTTAGTTATTAATTATCATACAGTAATTTCTCTACTAAAGCAGTGTGATTTTTAAATTTTGGCTCTATCTGCAGGTTCTAAGGCTGATCTTCTACCTGTGGAGAAGAAGTTTCCTCATCTCAGGAACGAAGAAAAAGGTAAGATCAGAAAAAGGTAAAATGATACTAAAAACATAAATTTTCAGGACTGTAGTTTAAAACAGAGCAGCTTTAGTATGAATATACGCATATGATTCAGGTGATTAGAAAAGAGCTAAATAATATTTTTTGGATTTTTACAAATTCTACAGTGTGTATCCCTGAAGTAGCAAGCACTAACTATAAATATCATTCAGTGTAATATTACAGGCATATGTAGATTAAAAATAACTAGTTTTTTAAAGCAGACAAGAGATATAGATGCTATGTAAAATTTATTTTGTTGGCGGTAAAAAAAATTAAACTCCATCCAAAATAGACTTGTTAGGTTTTTTTCCCTATTTTTATTATTATTATAAATAACTGAAGATGGTGAATATACCTAATATTCCCTGTTCCTCCTATTGTCCCCCATAACAAGCCTATGATGTTGGTTGAGCTGGGAGAAAGTGACTGGCCCAGAGCCACTCAGCCAGCTTTCATGCCAAAGATAGGATTAGAACTCACAGTTTCCTGGTGCCTTAACCATTAGATCAGACTGGCTCTCATACATTTTAAAGAATACAAAATTCATGTTTTCTGCAAAAAACTTTGCTAATGAATCCTGTGGCCCAGGGAATTCAACATTTTACAGAATTTATGAATAATATGCTGGATTCCACTTGTATCCATTTAAAAAGAGTCCGTTGCAAATGTCGGAACCTGAGAAACTAAAGTAAAGGAAGGAAGGAAGGAAGGAAGGAAGATTTCTTGGTTTTGATTCAACTATGCACTGTTTTTGTCTTAGTTTTATTTGAAATTGCTTCCAAAATGCAAATTGGGGTATTTGTCCAGAACTGCCTATGTCCATGCAAGAAACTTTCATAAATTATTTCTGCATTATTTTTATGGTAAATGTTATTTACTCACTCTGTTGCCAGATGAAAAACCAGTGTTGGATCAGAAGACATCTAAACCAGTGGCTCCCCGAGTACCACCAAAAAAGCCTGTCCCTCCAAACAAGACTAACAGCCTATTAAAAGCCGGGATATTGCTTTCAAAATGGCCAGATAAGACAGTTTTGCAACCACCCGTTTCTAAGTAAGTATCTTATTTTGTGCTTGAAATTCTTTGTAACTATATTGCAAAGTATTATTACATCCTTATTTACCTTTTATAACCCCGTCCTTCCAAAGGATGCTTTTGAAATTGGGAGAACATGCTGTAGGTTTTTACATTCACACATGTTTCTCCCATCTCAATTTGTTTTCCTTATTATTTGCTCAGACACGCAGAGCAGTGACAGATAATGTCCTTACTTCGCTTCCCAAGTTTATGTTGAAACTATGCAAGTCATGAGTTGTAGTAACAGATAAAAGAGAACTGAAGGAGGCAACCTGCATTGAAGAAGGGAGCAAAAATTCTGTGCATCTCTGCCTATATCTCAGCTTCTAACCCACAATTTGAGGAATTGGATTCTTGAAGAACGCTTGTAATTTTTGTAAAAGTATATATAAAGTTTTTGTTACATGTTTCATTTTACCTTAATTGCTGATAAAATCACTTAACTTTTGAACATAGGATAAATGGGGAAATTGCATCCTGGAGGCCAAAGTCTGAAATTGAGCCAGCAGTGAAACCAAAGACAGACTCTGAACAGTTACCATTGAAATCAAAATCAGTAGAGGTAGACTCAGCCGCACTACGGAACTTGAAAGAAACAGGTAAGTTTGAAAAGTGTACATAATGAATCTCAATTTTCCGCTCCACAGTATTAGAATAAGCCACAACAAAGAATAAACAACATCTTCAGCAGGGAATACTTTATTATCAGTGGATTCTGTGGTAGGAAAGCTCTGTGGTAAGGGTTGGTAGCAGAGGACCTATAGGTATCAGTTATCTGAAACTACTGTCCTTGATGGCCCTCAGAATCCCTTCATACTTTTTTCCTCTACTTTTAGTGGGAAATTCAAAGAGAAAGCTGTCTTGCAGCAAAGCAGAGTACTTACCTTTAGCATTATTCTTTAATCCTAAGAATGCTTGTGAGTACCTTTTAGGATCCTTTAGGCATTGTTAGAAAATGGAAGACATACTACTTGGAGACATGCTCTCTTGCTTTGAAGAGAGTACCCTGAAGTTTGCCTTCTGATAAATGGTATCTTCTATCCACCATTCCTTCCGTTCTCGATGCAGATATTTCTGACCATTCAAAATTCTAGATATGTCCACCATCTCCAAATGTAGTCTGTGTCTTGCTTACGGCATAATAAATATTCATTTTTTTAAATACTGGAAGATTTTCCCTATCTCAGACTTCTGGAACTATTTAAAAATAATTATTCAGCTAGATTCTACAGGTTTCTGGAATTTGTTTGTTTGTTTATTAATTTATTTTGGAATTATTCCAATACTTGGAAAGCTGAAATGAGGTGCACTGTATACTGTTGAGAATGCTTATGCCCATTACAAGTTTCAAACTGATAATGGGAAAAATAATGTTTACTTATAATGCATTTTTTTAAAAAGAGAGAATCCTTAACATAAGCTCTTTCACAGTATAGAACTCATTCTCCTGTTATTTTATTATGCTTCAAAAGAAGGTCTCAAGCATCTATTTTGTTAAAGTTCAGTACATATAAAATGTATCAATTTACAATATCTTATGGTTTTTTTTAAATAATTCAAAGGTTTTGTATTACAATAATTTGTGCTAGTATCAGGGTCTGCAGAAATGAGCAGAATAAATTGGTATCTGAGAAGCAAACTGAGGTCTCATTCGTATTAGGACAGCAAAATCAGAATACCGAAGCAAATCACAAAGCTTCTTTCATAGTTACTATATACTAGTGTAAGCCTGATTTCTTTATCATCACTGTTGTAAGTTCTTTTTCCCTTAGGGCCTTTTGATATTTTCATTTGTCTATGATATCTGAGGAAATAGCTTTTGAGCCTTAGTGATCAAGATGAGGCATGTATGTTCTTCAATTACAATTAACATGTCTTATTTTTAAAGATAATTTCTGTTATACTTCAGCATTTTATTTGTAATTGTAAATCAGGCAGGTCTCTAAAATCATTAAACAAGCAACATACTGATTTTTTTGCAAGAACAGAATGCACCCAAATTTGGTCAAGGAGGTCATACAAGTACATCACACACAAATATACTCTTCTCCCTTTTTTATTTATATTCTTGCATATTAATAGGAAGAGCTTTTAGAATTCTGGCATGCACAACTGGAAAGACCGTATACAATTTCCTTTCAAATTCTGGAGACTCTTGCTTTACCATGGGCCAGTAGAAAAGGGTTTTCGGTTTCAGATGTTCTCCCTTCAAACAGTCAGAAATGGCATAATCCACTTTAATGTAGAGGTCCATATTTCATGTTCAATAGTTAGCCTTTGAGTTACAGTTAGTCTTTGAACCTGCCCATCATGGTTGTAACTTTGGGGTGGTTGTAAAGCAAATTGGTCATATAATCAACCCAATTTTATGACCTTTTTTGTGGCAGTTGTAAAGTGAATGCTGCAGTTGTTAAGCAAATAATGTCATTAAATGAACCAGTGGTTTGCTTTGGGCACAGTTTTGCTGAAAACTGGAAGTAAACACCAGGTTTTAGCTATGACTGTGAAGGGGCCCCAACTGTCAGAATTTCAAATCTGGGCCATGAGTACCCCCCCCCCCGATAGGGACATTAGAACTTTGAAAGGTCACTAAGTGACTAGTATAAGTTGAGGACTATCTGTACATTCAGAAAATAGAACAGGAAGAAATGAGCTCTTTTAGAGGCCTTTACTTATTTGAACATAACAAATGACTCTAAAGGTTGGAGGGACATTCACAGCTAGCCATCAGTCGTAAATTCCATCAGAGTTTATGCCTTAAACCAAATAAAGAAAAATGTAAGTATTTATAGCAACTTAATCAAATAGAAAAGCATAATTACTCTTCTTTTTGGATATAGGATACTATTACTAAAAGTGCAGTAAATTTTAATACCAGATAAAAATAAAAATATTTTGTAGCACTGAGCCGAAAGCAATGAAAAGGTGTTTTTTATACAACTCTAAGATTGTGGTATTTTAATAGTTGAAATTTTAAAATTACAAAAGGGAACTGTCCAGTATAAAAAAGATAAATTTGTTATTTGGGCATGCAAATGTTCTTGATGTATCAAAGCTAAGCTATCCCTTTTATGCTTGGTTGGGTAAAGAACAGGGACTGAAAATCTCCGAACTTCCAGAGCATAGAGGATTTCATTCAGGGTTGAAATTATGGGATATTTCTGACCATTGCAGTTCAAGTGACTGTCAGCCTGGTTGGGGATGCTTGTTTAGAGAGGTCACCTGAATCTCCCAGAGCGATCCAGGGAGATGTAAGCAACAGTTTTGTCTCTGTATATCGTTGGATTCAAAAAACCCTATTCGCCTAGGCAAGCATAAAAAGGGTTTGTAGAGAATCATGCGAACAACTTCTTTCATCACTTCATGAGACAGAGCTTCCAGTAATTACAGGGCCATAAATCATCTGTTATCTTAAAGAGATGTGGTACATAATATATCTCTCTATATATCTCTGCATTTATATTTCTAAATGGGATATAGGGATATAAATTTTTTTGCTCAGTTTATAAACCGACATTGATTTGCCTTTTTAACCTCCTTTCCCCCTCTCCCATGTACTGCATATATAGTTTATCCTAGTGAAACAATTTTTCTACAAGACAATCCTATAAAACTGCCATTTAACTTAGATTATGTGCATGCATTCTGTGGTGTCAGTGGCACACATCCTTTACTACTTTAGCAATAGAGCTGATACCTTTTGATTTGTACATATTTGCAGTATATTTTTAATCTGATTTAATATTTGGAAAAAATAAATAATTTTGGTATATATACCCATTTTTATATTATATTTTATATGGTATATTTATATTGATATATGCATTTATTAATTGAATTTGAATATGTACAAAGGACATGATAGAGCGGTAGTGTAAATATTTATTAATTTTTTCCACTAAATATTTCTGGTTTCTGACTTTCTCTACACCCGACTGGATTGTTCTCTTCCATTCTGAACCCCAATAATGTCCTTTCCAACTGATCTTAAGGTGAAATGTACAGGTAGTCCTCAACTTATAACAGTTGATTTAGTGACCATTCAAAGTTACAGTAGCACTGAAAGAAGTGACTTATAACCATTTTTCAAACTTATGACCATTGCAGCATCTTCATAGTCACACAATCAGAATTAAAATGCTTGGCAACTGACTCGTATTTATGATGGTTGCAGCGTCCCGGGGTCACGTGATCATCTTTTGTGACTTTCTGACAAGCAAAGTCAATGGGGAAACCAGATTCACTTAACAACCATGTTACTAAGTTAACAACTGCAGTGATTCACTTAACAAGTGGAAAGAAGGGTTGTAAAATGGGACAAAGATGCTTAGCAACATAAATTTGGGGCTCAATCATGGTCATAAGTCGAGGACTACCTGTAGATGTGCCACGGCACCTGTAGTGGGCATGTTTTTTGGAGAGAGATTCCTCCTTCAGAGGAATACAGCAACAGGCCTCATTCCCATACAACATCTATATGTAAAGAATACTAGACAACCCATGATCCATTGGGTCAGTCTTTCCACACACAGTATAATATAGGCTTGCACAGTTTCCCTTCATCTCACAACCCTTAGGAGAGCTCCGGTTAAGCCGCCTCCTCCTCCTCAGCTGATCCAATGAATTGCTTGCCACTGCTGAGGGAAGGGGAAACCAAGAAAGTTGCAGACCACAAGGTAAACTGAACCCCTGCTCCCCATTCTGGTGCGTGCCCAAGGATCCCCTCCCTACAGGGAGGAAGAGGGCTCATACATCAATGCCAGTGCCCCCCCCCCAGCCAGTCCTACCTTACCAGCAGGCACATCAGTCCCTCCCTCGTCCTTCCTCTTTCCAGAATATAGGCTTGGGGAAATCTCCAGCCGGTCCTACCTTGTCAGCAGCCATTCAAGAGTCAATCCTTCATTCTTCCCTTTCTGCCACCGCTGTTAAGAGATTTCAGATTTTGGGCTTACTTTTAACATAGCCAAATAGCCACTTACTCATTGGGCCTTCCTACCAGCCAATTGGGCATAGGGGCCAGAGGAACACAGGAAAAAGGGTTGGAATACAATCTTTCCTTGTGCCACACAACCTATGGGTTTCTGGGGAACTGTCGTTGATATTGTGGCACTGAAGCGGCCCCAACTTTCCCAGATTTCATTTCCATAGGAGTTATGGCTCTCAGCATTCTGTAAGTTATACCATGTCAGTTCCTTGGTTCAATAATTGTTGCCGTATATTCTCCAATTTTGTCCAATTGAAGGTTACAAAGTTGCAAACAGACATGAGAATATTAGTAGTATATAGATACCACATTTAAATACTTTAATTATTCTCAGGGTAGAGGTATCAGTACTTGGGTCATGCAATAGAATAGTTTTTAATAATGGATTGCTATCAAACGTCATTCAGTAGTTTCTTTCCTGCTATTTTCCCATTGTGTATTACAATATGCTATTTCCTTTTCATTCTTAAACTGTTATATAATCTTGCTCTGTAGTCTACAATATATCTTTGTAACTTTTGTAAACATTTTGTTGGTATTGTTAACATTTTAACTGTTTTTAACCCCTACTAATTCAGTCTTCAAGGCATTCCAATTAATAAATTATAAATGAGCCATGCTAGAGTACTGTTGCATTCATTTTAGTTAACTCCAACTTTGAGTTGAGATAAATGTAAAAAATACTTATACTTTAGTTCTTTATTTCTGTAAACTTTTGATGTTGTGTATATGCATGGAGATTTGTTCAGCACTATGGGACAGGACTTCAATTTGCATAATGAAATTTTCTATTTGTGAGGAATCAAGGATCCATATGCTAGCAGAAAAGCTTTGATATGTTTTTAGAAGATATATGTAATACTTTAATAAGTAGAAATCAAGAATCCCTGTCATCTACCTCTTTATTCAGAGATAACTGAATTTCAATACTTCTGAAAAAAGAGTGTCATGGATCCAGACAGCTATTGTGGTTAGAAATGCACCCAGAACCAATTTTGCATATTTTAAAAGATAGCATAGATTCTTCCCCTGAATGAAATTGAATGGATGTGGCTAAAATAAAAATGTCCTGATTATGTATTGAAGATAATGCTGCCATATTTTTCCTGCAAAATACTTTTTTTTGTTCAAAATCTTTTCTAGCTATTCGTCTCCTTGACTTTTCTTTCCAGATTTTGTTTCCTATCCTGTTTGCCATGTTTCCCTTCTTACGTGTCAGGAAATTACCCTCCCCTTCTTCATTTTGGTAAGAAACTTTCTATATAGCAATCCACATCTTTTGTTCCATATCAATTCTTGAACCAAAATTTCTATTCTTGGATATTATTAAAAAAAATTAAAAATGTGTTTATGTTTTCAAAAATTTACGCTGAACTATATCAAGTGAAAAATGTTATATTTTGATGGTTTTGTAACATTACTATATAAAAAATAAATTTTGGTAATAGTAGAATCCCTCTCTTTTCCTGTTTTGAGTTTCTTTGCATGGTTAAGAGCCAAAGAGGGCCATTGTGAGTAAGGCATTCTTTAGCTCTCCAGCATATGGTTACTTGGTATAGTTGCTAGGCAATTACTTCATGAAAGTGCAAAATAAGATATGTAAGTGCTCTGATTTTGAAAATGGGTAACTGGCAAAGGACCACAAGTTCTAGCAGGAAGAGGAGATAAGTTATACTGTTATTGGGGCAAATTCATACAGTAAGTTTGTGAACATCTGCCTACTGTGTAATTGCTATTAATGGTTCAGTTTTTTGCATCTGTTATTTCGTAATATAACTTGCCCCATTAAATAAATTTGTATTGTGTCAAGGTAAGATAAAGGTAGTTGTTGACTTATAACTAGCTGTTCAATGACTGTTCACACTCACGATGGCCTTGGAGCAAATGCTTTACAGACACAAAGCATTTTTTGACTGTTGTAAAATATCCTGCCATGTGCGCCCCTCACAGTCACATGACCGCATTTTGGGTGTTTGCAGCCTGTTGCATTTATGGCCAGTTACCAAATGCCCGGTGATCATGTGATCGCCATTTGAAACCTTCTCTGCCAGTTTACTCAGAAAGTCATTGGGGAAGAAAGTCCAGAAAATCAGTGCAAACAGAAGGGACTTTGGATTTGAGATCTATTCCCCCAGAATGCTGAGGTATTTCCCCTCCCCTTCACACAGGAAGAGGAAATCCTTCCATGCGGTAGAGGAACAGACCTCAAATCTGGTGAAAAACTATGATCGCAAGCATTCTGAGCCTCTCAGAATGCTTGCTTTCACTTGCGTTTTCTCCTCTGGAAGGGACATCATTATTTCTGCTCCTCCAGAGGGGAAAAAGCTAGAAAACACCAGTGTTTCCACCCCTCTGGAGGGGAAAATACAAGTGAGTATGTCAGCTTTTGCTAGTGTTTTTCACCTCTGGAAGGGAAAATGCTAGTGAATGCCAATGTTTCCGCCCTTAGAGAAGGGAAGTACTATCAGACAAATACTATTCTGAGCCTTTCAGAATGCTGACATTTTCTAGTGTTTTACCAGATTTGAGTTCCATTCTTCTAGCATGCTGAGGAATTTCCCTTCTAGAGAGGAAATCCCTTGGCATGCTGGAAGAATGGATCACAATTTAATCTGGCAAAAGTGCTAGCAAATGCCAGCTTTTTTGTTATTTATCTCCCTGATAGGCCAGGGAGAGAGCCTGGGCCTCCAGGACATGGTGGAAGGCCTATGCCCTCTGCCCGGGCACTCCATTTAACAACCCATTTGGTCACTTAACTACCACAACTGGGAGAGCTGGGATTGTGGTAGTTCAGTTAACTACTTCGCTCAATGACCAAGATTTCAGCTGAGGTTGTAAGTGGAGGACTAGCTATATAGAATTTATTGTGCAACTATTCATTTGGTTGTGTGATAAAGAAAAAATACATAAAGGATGTGTTTGTGACTAGATGGCAGAAACCAGTGAAGCCCAAGCTAAAGAAAATAATATATGATTCAGTTGCTTCCCAAGGCCATCAAGATCCATTAATTTGGAAAAGCAACAAGAAAAAGGCCTAGAGTTTAAATTATGGAACGTAGACACAGGTAAAGGCTTTGATGGTTTTACTCTATAGTAGACAAATAAACTATTGTATTATTTTATCTTTCTCTAATACTAATAATATATTTTAATAGTATAGATGAGGTAATAGTATAATCTAATCGTATTTGACAATCTTCAATCAGTTAATGCCAAATCTTGTTCCCGTAACCTTTCACTAAGCAAAATGGTGTGTTTGTTTGAACCAAGATACCTCAAATGAGTTAACTTACAGAATGTGTCCAAATTCCTGGACCCATAACTCCCATGGAATTGATATTCAGAAAATTTTATAAAACAACTTATGACATAAAAACTATCATAAAACAGTTTATGACATAATATAAAATGTCAGAAACATTTCCTGTGTGATGTTTGACAATGGGCGATGTTCAAGGCAGATGCATCTCTGAAAGCATGTATCTTGGAAGGCAGTACATTAGGAGTTCTGTCATTGTTAAAAGCATTAAGGAATCTGATAAAAAAAATTCTCTAAAAGGATCATCCAAGGGAACATGGGTTTTCTAATAAGGGACTAAAATGACTGGAAAGCTGAAATATACTACTGAACGCTGGTTTGAAACCTGGCACTTGAGTTGATTTGAATGTATTTATTTATTTTATTAAACAAATGTATATAGCTGCCCAGCTCACACAGTGACTCCGGGTGGCATAAATCATTAAAAATAACAGTTGTAAAATCCACAATTTAAACCCCACCAGTCTACCCCAGGTTGGAAATTCAGCTTTTGTCACAATCTGATTTGATTTTCTGGCTTCCAGATTCAAGGACAATTGAATTCAACCTAATTCTAGATTCTGTTTTAAAGACATTTTTTATTAGGCTATATTTGGAAAATATTAAAATGGCAGAATGAGATGAAACTAGCAGAGATAATATTCTTAAAATGACAGCTCACTCTGACTCAAGAGTTTCACTGCAATATATATTTTTAATGTTCTTCTTGTGTTTGCTTTAAGACACAGGTAGTGAAGATATGGAAAGGACAGCTCAGCGGCCTCGAGTCTTTGTGGTCGTAAGCTTGTACAAGATTGTACTGAAAAAAAATTCTATTTTAAAAATACAAACTTTCTGGACTAGCAGATGGGACATGCTTTTTTTTTTTTTTTTTAGCAGAATTCATTATCTTGATAAATAGTATTTTGCAAGTTTGTGCATGTTGTAACTTCCAGGTTTCCTTTACCATCAGGCATGGGGTGCCTTCTTTTGACTTGGCAAGTATACTAATTTTGAGGAATGATGTAGGAAGGTCAATAATCTTAGTGTGGCACAAATTCCAGCTGTAACTTTCTGTCAGTACGCTATGCTAGAGATTAGACCAGTGATGGTGAACCTTTTGGGCTTGGCTTGTCAAAAATTCTAAAAATGCCTAACTTGACTGCTGGTGTATCATGCACACACACATCGAAACAAAAGAGAAATAATTCTTTCCACATTCATTTATTTTTTTAAAAAAATACAGTCCAGTCATGTGTGTGATTCACAGTATCTGCCACACATGACTTACCTTGAGGCAATGTTAATTTTCTCTTGACAGGCCCCTGCAGGCTACCCGAGATAGCTCAGGTCATACAAACTGTTTGTTCTTGAAGTGGCTTTGAAGAATGCTCTTCCATGCAATCTCTGAAACCGTGTGAAAGCACACCCCATTCTTGCACAACGTTCAGAGGCTCCAGAGGCCATGTGATTTCTGGAGGCTAAGCAAAAGCACATTCTAATCTCGTGCAACCTCCAAAAATTGTGCAGAAATGGGGCGTGCTTTTGAGAATTGTTGTTTTCAGGCGTTGATGAAAAGTGGCATGTCACTCAAAATGTTGTGGCATATCACAGGTTTACTATCACTGGATGAGATGGATTGCCTTTTGGAGATGGCTTAATCCTACCTAACTTTATTATAGCACGAGATCAGAATTGCTAACAAAATGGTTAGTGTGTGATTTCAGAAGCTCTCAGAGTTGAGTGACTGCAACAGATGGAGGAGGCAGGCTTTGGAAGAGCAGGCTGGTATACCCAGGAGCAAAACACTCAGCCTTTTATTGCACCATTGTAGGTAGTGTAGTTGGGTCATCTGAAATATAAAAAAGACTGCTGAGTACAAAGAAGTATAAAGGAAGCCCAAGTAGTGCATTATTCGGTGTCAGAGTGGCAGGCCTTGGCACTAGAGTAGCACAGAAGCAGGCTGGCATCAGGAAAAATGGGGCTCTCAAAGTTAAATGGCTGTTTTAGTAGAAGAAGCAGATGCCGGTGATGGTAGGCTAGCAGGTGTAGTCCTGTAGTACAGGGCTTTTCAACCTTTTCACCCATTGTACCACTTTTAGGATATGGCAACATCTGATACCACCAGTCGCCTAGCCAGGTGTCAAAAATTTGATGACCCCTCCCCCCAAAAAGGAAAAAAGTGGTAAAGTACAGATAGTATTTGACTTACAACAGTTTGCTTAGTGACTGTTCGAAGTTACAATGGCACTGAAAAAAGTGCCCCCCAAGGCACAGCCGAGCAAGACACCTGCCTGCCCACCCGGCGGCACTCTTCCTCCTGTCTGAGGTTTTCATTGTTGTGAGCATTTCTGTTGAGGATTGGCAGTGGAGGTGGGGTGGGGGGTGTTTGGTTTTTATTCCTCCCATCTGCTGGGTGGTTGCAGCAGGTTTTGGTCACTTCACATGACCCTGGGACACTGTGACTGTCATAAATATGAATCAGTTGCCAAGCATCTGAATGTAAATCACAAGACCCTGGAGATGCTGCAACATTCCAGCTGATCGGTGCTTCTTCTGGGCTCAGCAGAAGCATCAGGATCAGTGCTGCTTTCCAGCTTCAGCCTGTTTCTAATCCTGGCGCTTCCACTGAGCCCTAACAGCCCCGAAAAAGCACCGATCAGTTGAAAAGCGGCACTGATCCTGGTGCTTCTGCTGAGCCCTGACAGCCTTGCAGCTGCAGCCATCTCTCGCTCAGGCTTTTGCGGTGCTGCCACTGGTTCAGCTCATTCCCCTCCCCTGCTACCACTTTTCTAGGATGGTCATGTACCACCTGCCAGGTGCCAATGTACCACAGGTGGTACCCGTACCACTGGTTGAAAAGCCCTGCTGTAGTAATCCCAGTTAAGTGATTAAACCAGGCAGAGAAAATTGGTTTGATAGCAGGCTTATATTATTATAGAACTGTTCAAGTGAAGCAGTTGTACAGTAGACTGACATGCAAAGGAGGAACTGTAAATGATCCATGCATATGCATTATTAGATAGTAAGTAAAACTCATCTGGGTGGCAGACCTCTAAAATTTATAAGCTAAAGCGCTTTCTTAACTTAAAGACAATAAATGTTTATTAACATTTGTTAAACTGTTAGCCTTGCTGTTCTTAAAGTCAGGGCCAGCTCTGTTCTTAGTTTTATGCCTATTTACTCAGTATGGTGATTAAAACATGCTCCAAGCAAAAATAACACAGAAAAAAACTATACTGTTGAACTTTGAGTTCATATTCAGAGGGCAGAAAGTATTGAACTGGCCAGAAAGAATAACATTGGCATAAAACTGCTTAATTAGGTTAAACATTATATCCAAATTAAGAAAGTTGAATGAAGTTGAAGCATGCTCAGTGCCAATCACAGTCTGCACAAAATATTGTCTTACATGTCCAGTTTAAAAAAAATAATTTTAAGAGTAATTCCTGAACCAATTTTGGTGCCAATATGTGATCGGCTGTTGAATATTAATTGTCCTCCTGAATACCATCTCAACAGATGTTCCCAGGCAACCATAGCCAGATCCTTCTACCTCTGGCTTAGACTGCCTAGTACTCCAAACAGCAAGAGTAAGGGTTTTTACCTAGTACTCCAAAGGGTTTCACTTCCTGACATAGAGTACTTAATATCCTCTCAGCATCTCCATATCCTCAATAAATTAAGTAGCAATGGAACTTGATTTGGTGCCTTGAATCACAACCAGTCTTGAAGATAGATTATTGCTGATTACTGTGGTCCTTGCCTCCCTTTTCTACTGCTGTTGATGGGTACATTAACTGAAGACCGTTAGATATCAGGACTGTTTATCAGCTAAACATAATCTTCCAACTCTAGCCCTGCCTTAATTATCCACACTTTTGTAACCTTTTGTTTAGATTTTTGCAGAATGTTGAACATGGGGCTCCATTTAAAAATATTCTTGAAATTATTGTAGAATACAAATGCAAAATTAACCTGAGTAGTTTTCTGGGAATATCTCTCCTGTATTTAAAAGAATATTGTGGCTGGCTGCCGGTTTATTTCTGTGCCTGCAGTAGACTGAATTTACTTGAACTATAAACTCTTTGTTTTAAGCCTTCCTTCAAACATTCCTGTGCATGAAGATTTCTGATGAATGTTATTTAAGGAGGAGGTGCTGATGCTTTTCTTGTGGAATTTCCTTATTGGAATTTCCTTATTGGAGCATCCTAATGATCTGCCTTGTTAGATACTTTTTTCTGGCTCTTTTAAGATTCTAGAACTCATTTCCTGCTTTGTTCTGGTAGTCTTGATATGAGATCTATATTAATCTCTCATGGGATTTTGTTTTATATGGTTAATGATCTTAGTAAATAGCCTTCATTGTATTTGTGCAAAGAAAGATGATCTTTTAGTAGGTGTTTCATTTCCTTTTCCATAATTATGAGTATCCTCATTTCAATTAATGAAAACCACTTTTGATAAATCAAGTATCACGAAATGAGAATTTAGCTTGAGCCCTGTTAGCCATTTGTACAACCGTGAAATAGACATTTAAAGAAATAATCAGTACAGGAAGTACACTAGTGCCTGCCCTGGACAGTGACTGTTCACAGTTACACTGGTACTAAGGAAATAATTAGCAATCAATACCTGCATTTCTAACCGTTACAACTTCCTCTCTTTCCATCATCTGTTTGCCATTCAGTTAGTATGCATTGTCCTGTACAAAATTGTAAGTACAGTTGTGGTCACATGATTTTTCACTTAGGAACCACTTTGCTTAACAACTGAGTTATTTATCCCAGTTGCTAAATGAGGATTATCTGTACTCTAGGATATCTCTACTGTTTTCTTGCTGCTGCTAGGAAAGAATGTATGAGGGAAGTAGTACTATGAAAAATCTGTTAGATGGAAAACTATCTATAAATTCTGTATGAATGTATACTCTTTATCTGAGAGTAAGAGGAGATATTGTAGGTGGTACTTAGGTTACATCCATTCATTCAACAAGAGTTCACATGGTCACATGATTGTGATCTGGGTGCTCCACCTGCCTCGTGATTGTTGAAGCAAGCTGCAGTCACATGATCACAATTTCCGAAGTTCTCTGCCAGCTGCCCACAAACAAATTCAGAGGAGAAGCCAGCAGAAAGTCAGAAATAGCAATCATGTGAGATCTTCACTTAATTAGACCAACCAAGATTGCTGGAAATGCCACTGTGAAGTGACACAGTCATGTGACATCACACTTTGCAATACAACTGCATTCCTTAGCAATGGCACTTTTGGCCCAATTGCTGTCATAAGCCAAAGACTACCTGTAATGTGAAATAAAGAATGTGTATAATTGACTTGGGTGGGCGTAATTTTGATATGCTTGATAGAGATGTATAAGCAGGGTATGTGCATGAGATCAATTGGCATAAAAAAGATATTTCAGGGTCATGTCCTGTGGGAGACATGTCACAAACCTGGAGCATGGAAGCTGGTTCAGTAACTTCTCCATTTGAATGGCATGCTGTTTTAGCATTTTAAGAAAGATCTATCCTTGCAATACAAATTTGTGAGTTTCTCTCCTGTGCCTTGCCTCTTCAACATTTTAAAGATGGAATATTTTTTAACCCATTTAATACTCTCTCCATTTCTTTTCCATGCTAGAGTGTGGAGTATTCTTTGTAGCAACATCTCAAAATAGATATGAGATGTTGAAATCTCCTAACTTTTCATTATGTTCTCTGCTTTTAATTTTTTCTAGAACTTTTAAGTTTTGATGATCTAACACCTACCTCAGATAATTTATCACATCCCACTGCAAATAGACCAAAGATGCCCGGCAGAAGACTTCCTACTCGCTTCAATGGCAAGAATCCTGTGAGTACATGAATCACTTATATGTGAATTACCCATCATAATGATTGAACTAACCACAAAACAGGTCTCTGCACACTTTGGAGCCCAAGCCCAGCCCAAAGCTAGCAGCATTGGGACCATTCTGATCTCCAAAGAGAGAATGTTCTAGAAGGTGAGTGCTATGGCAGAAAAGGCGTGTCCTCTAGGCCCCACCAATTGGCATTCCTTAGTTGACAGGCCCCATTCTGCCTGACTGGATTGGACAGGTAAGAACCTTTTGGCACAGAAGGCTGGCGATTGGGCTGGCAACTGTAAAATAAAAAATATCCAGAGTGGTATTTCTGTTTGCACTGAATATCATTTTCTTGTAAAGACCAAACATATTTACCAGTGGCAATTTAAAATATAATGCCTTAGAACTCTGGCAGGTTGTTTGATATTCATGTACTGTCAATTCATTATCTTTTTAAAAAATATATATTGATTTTTCACAGTTCAGCTGGTTTTAATGTTGCACTGTTCAGTTGTTTCATCAGTTTCAATTAATTTATTTTCTGCACAGTGCAGAAAAATCAAATCATGGGCCATGGGTAATCCTAAATAAAGACCTTTGCCACTTATTGCTTACATATTTGTTCCTGTTTGAAGATGTTGTTATAAAAGTGTCCCTAAGAGACCTAATAATAGTGATAGGTTTGCTTCTGAATGCATCTTTTGGTCTGTATCTAAGGAATGGCACCCCCTAATGGAATAAAAAATACAAGTTGCAACCTTCAATTGCTAAACCAGTTGACAGATATGCAATTTATACTAAAATGATTTAAATTATTCAATAGCTACTTAAGACATTAAGAAATAAAAACTCCATAAGTAACGTGTTTAGAAGTCATATAAATAGATAGGCAGAGAAACAGTCATCTATATACAAGTTTTGCTTGTGAAACTTAAGTCAGTTTGCAATAAATAGCCAAAACATATTAAAGAACTCCCACATGAAAATCCTCCCTCTCCTAATCATTGCATCAAATCAAATCCAGTGAAAAGAGAATATTATCCACCAAATGCCTGCTGAAATAAGATAGTGTCTTCTGCCTTCCAAAACACTAATGGGCTGGGGACTTCACTCACCACATTCCAGGACACAATGCCTAGTAGTTTTCACTTGGGTAAAACAGTAATAGCATAAATTTTAGTGATCATCGCAGATTGTAAGTTCCCTGAAGCAGCAACCCTCATTTGATCTCAGATCATGAATCCCAAAATGAAAAAGATGGTTACTAAAGCATAGCTAGCCATTTTGTAAAGAAACAATTGCTAACTAGCATCCTGAATTTTATTTAGGAATAAAATAAAATCTACTAGATGATTTTATAAATGGATATACTAAAAAGCTTTTAGAGTAAATACACAAAAAAGGCTGATTTCTATTTTATATTTCCTTTCTTGGTTGAAGCCTGCTCAGACTCAAAACATAGAAAAAAATGTGAAGGTGCATAAAGAGGAAGAAGAAAGTGCCAAATTAAAATTATCTGAGGGTAAAAAGGTATGTTGACATTGCTTGTGTTTATATGTACTAAGAAATCAAAATGATTAGAGTATCCTAATCATTTAGAAAAATAATATACTAATGCAGTAGTTCTCAACTTTTTCTTCACCCTGGACCCCCTTTAAATACCTTGGGTGGCCACCGAACAGGACCACAGATCACCAAGACTTAGCTCAAGGTTTAAATCATAACATTTCTTCAAACTTTTGCGGACCCCCTTTGATGACATCAGGCTCCCCCAGGGGTCTGCAGACACAGGTTGAGAACCACTGTTCTAATGCATTGGTACAGATTTAGCTTGAGTAATTATGGGATGGGAGATTAAAGTTAGATATTTTTATGTCAGCCTGATGAAACAAAAATGCACAAATTTTGTTATTGAATAAATAAAATATTACCTATTATCTAGTTCAGTTGTGAGTAATGTTGGAACAACCACTTTTTGATTATGTGATGATGATATTACTAAAATTTAGGAGTAAATGATGCAAAACTGCAGTACAGTTTCATGCCATTTGAAGGGAAAGAAATGAAAGAAGAAAACGAGAACATCTTTCTTCAAATTTCACATCTTTATCAAAGTTATGAAAAATACACTGCACAAATTTTGCTGCTGAATTTCGGGATATGGTCTCAGGATGCTGGGCAGTATAAATGAGGTACTTGGGTACTCCTTGAGATACACAGCCCACAGATTGCCATATGCCTCTCTTCTGATTATAATATATCACTTTTTCTAGAATAAAAGAGGCCACATTTTTATTAGAATCCTTTATTCATGCAGCATATTGCAAAATAATTTTGGCTTCCTCTGATAGTCTATCCCTAGTTTTATTAATCATCAAAGTATCAGTCAAGTATCACCAGCCAATGTTTTAAGCCATTATTCTAAGAATATAGACTTTGCTTGTTCTTCAGTAAATAGCTGTGGTGGCACAGTGGTTAGAATGCATTATAGCAGATTGACTCTGTTCACAGCCAGGAGTTTGATCCTGACTGGTTCAAGGTTGACTCAGCCTTCCATTCTTCTGAGATTGGTGAAATGAGGACCCAGGGGACAATATGCTGACTTGTAAACCACTTAGAGAGGGCTGTAAAGCACTGTGAAGCGATTTTAAATGTGCTATTACTGTTGCTTCAGTGAATAGATTTGACTGTATTCTCGCCATCCTCATTTAGACCACTGTTCTTCTGTTTCAGCCATCAAAACTTATTTCGCCAGTTCTGACTTCATTACCACGACCAGGTTCTATTGTAATAAATGCTGGAGAAGTGAAGCTCAGCCAGGAAACAGATGAACGGGAAAAACATTCACTGGAAGAGCTAAGGTCTCAGATCTTTGATCTCTTGTTGGCTGTAGAAAACTTGAGAAAAGAACATGGGTAAGAGCTTTTCATTTTTTTTTTTTTCACAACAGCTTTTTAAAGTGATGTAGGCACCATGAAGTTCTTCTGGTATTGTTGTACTATAGTTCCCATCATCACATACCACTGGTCTTGTTGGCTAGGGTTGACAGGAATTCAATAGCTGGAGAATCATGTATTTCAATTCCTACTATATAGATGGATAGAAAAAAACCTACTATAGTTGTCATATTAATTCAATGTTTTTATACATTTCCAGGATTAGTTCCGAAGTACTTTATAATATGTTTCTTGATAAAGGGCTAGCTGAAACAACTAGCTGAAAACTATATATATAAGTACTGCAACAGGAATAGCTGAGACTTTATTTTTGATTGCTAGTTTCATGTTTTATTGGTAATATATGAGTATATGCCAGAATTTGATAAGATACTCAGATACTCATTTCAATCTCCTCATTGGATGAGGAGATTCTGCACTCAGATAAATATGGTCCTTTTGGTTCATAGAGGAAGTTTAAGGTGGTTAACACTCGCTCATACTTCTGCTCTCAGTATAGATCATACCTATTCTATTTGGAAGCTGCTTATCCTTTAAATCAAAACCTAGCTAGCTATGCAAGGATGTTTTTTCACTGCAATTTTTTGTGTGTGCAAATTTTAAAGGAAACAACTGGAAAAACTGAAAAAAGACTTGGAAGAAGAAAAGCAGATGCGAAGCAACCTAGAGGTAAAATATTTAAATAGAAGCCCAAGGAAACTTTATTTTCTATAGTCCCCATTACTTTCAATAAAGTGATGCAAATTCTTAGCAAGAACATAACAAAACAGCCATAGTCAAGTACTGCATTTTGACTTCTTTAAGCTTCTAATTTCAGGGAAAGGATGTATTTTTGCTAATTTTCCTCCTATTCCCTGAGATTTTCTGGGGAGATTTCAGCCATGGGATGGGAGCTCCTCTGAAGTATTATGAAAAGTAGCTGGTAAACACAAAATCAGAGGCACAGTGAACTGAACTGAGTGGCTCTGTGAAACAATGATCTACAGGTAGTGTAAGGACGTGCCTCAATCCCTCTTCCCAAGAAAGCAGAACTCCTGGAACAGCTTCATTCCAAAAGGAACTTTTATTAGGAAAAGTTGACAGTTGACAGTATGCCAGACTTACTGGGTGCAATCTTTATCTTATGTGTGTCAACTTTTCTGGATGGGTTGCTTATGTAATTATACAGAATAAATACAAGGATTTCTTGTCATTTGTTGCTCCCCTCATTTAGAGGAGTCCATCTCTGTTCAGCTGAATAAACATGTAAAACTTAAAAGGCACTTTCTGGTTTCTTGTATTTCTTTAACCAGCAAAACCTCAGAACCTGCATATCAGAGCTAACAATGTGGTGGTATCACATGGGCATAATGAGCTCCACCCTAACTTTCTGGGCTGTACTATTTGGACTTAATTAAGACTTCAGATAGTCTTCAGAGGCATTCTCGTTGCAGTTAAGAGATTAGTAAGGCATCAGTGACTATAAGCAAAGCCTGTTGATGTAGGAACAGGTACAACTGGTGCACGTTATGCAGTTGAGTATACAAGAATATACACCTGAGTATTATCACTTATTGATACTTTATTCTGTACCAATGTATAATCATGTAGATATTAAAAGGGGGAGGGAGAGAGTAGAGTCATGAGACACTTTGCAAAACACTCATTTATTTATTTATTTATGAGACTTATATACTGCTTTAAGTGCAAGCACTTTCTAAGCGGTGTACACCAGTAAGCAATGTGTGTGTGTGTGTGTGTGTGTGTGTGTGTGTGTGTGTGTGTGTGTGTGTGTATATATATATATATATATATATATATATATATATATATATATATATATATATATATATATATATTACATTGCCCCCAACAATCTGGATCCTCATTTTACCTACCTCGGAAGGATGGAAGGCTGAGTCAACCTTGAGCCGGTGAGATTAGCAGCAAAGCCTTGAATCACTTCATAACCATACAAACTGGGATTCAGTTTCTTGAAATTCCTTGAATGTATTTGTTCTTGGTATCCATTTTTGCTTGTTTTCTGTTGTGTTTTATTTATTTCATCCTTATATTGTATTTATGCTTTTATTGCATTAACTGGCCAGAGTTGTTTTATGTGAGATGGGCAGCCATAAATAAGTTAAATGGTAGAAGCTGTTGTGGCATGAGACTGTCATGGCAGAAAATGACTTATCCCAGTGATAGATTTCTAGAATATAATAGAAGGAAGAGTAGTCCTAAATTTAAAATATATTTGATGGGTTGTAAATGTGTATGAAATATGAAACATTCCTTATTTGATTAATGTTTACTGTTATATCATTCACAGATGGAAATAGAAAAGCTCAAGAAAGTTGTCATGACTACATGAAAGACGCATACTGTGGATCCTTAATGTGCCAGGATTTCAGAATCAGAAATGAAATTGACTTTTTTAAACCTCAAGCCAACGGATGATAGCATTCCATTAAAAAAATCTGAATATAATCTTATTTATATTTTGTGAGCTATGAGAAAAAAATGGATAGCTTTTTCATTTGTTTCTTGCCAATATAGGAGAGGCCTTATTTCTTACTGTGCAGTATGGCAGGGTTTGCTTGAGAATACTACTGAATCTGTATAAAAGAGGGGTTCTTAGTATATTTTTATTGAATATACCCTAATTTTAAGAGATCTGTATTATAAATAAGGCAATATAACTTTGAAAATAAACTGTAAAATATATAGTATAGGAGAGAGGAAAATGGTATAGTTTTGTACAGTTACTACTCTTTTCACCATGCTAAAGGGACTATGATGTTAATCATATGCTGTTTTATTGTTCAGGTCTTTTGAGTTTGTTCTCACTATGAAGCAGAAGGATTACCAAACCCTAGCACTATGATATTGTAATATTTCCTTACCTGAGAATTCAGAGTACAGTACTGTGATTCTTGCACTATAGAATTTGTGGAAGGGATCTATAATTAGGACACATGGACACATACAAACACATGGATACTTAAAATAAAAAAATCAAGGCATAAAATTGAGACAATCCTATAGTATGACATTTTTTCTAATTACGGAATGTGACATGTTAAATATTCTCTTGAGTGTTTCATTTCTTTTTACAAATTATAATCTTAACACTACAATTTTATCAGCTTTAAAATGCTTTGCACTAATAATTGTAACATATTAAAAATCTATAACCTAAAACTTATAACAAAATGTTTAAAGCTGCCAGTTTTCTAAATGCAGTCTTAAAATAAGGGTATATCATCTACATATTTGTTAAAGTATTCAGTAAATCAATAATGAATTTTTAAATCAATATTTGGCTTATGCTTTAGAATTCAAATTGAATTATTGTATATGTTGAACAATATTTCTTTGAGTCATCTTGTTTTAAGTTATTTCTACAGCCTAAAATCCAGGTTTTTTTCTGTAAAGAAAAAGTGAACTTCTTCAGTGCTCTGTTCAAGCCAAAGATAAAAATATAATTCAGCCCTTTTTTCTTCTAGCATTGCTATCCTAAAATTTTATAGAAAGGGGGAACTGTTTAGTGAATGATTTTAGCTTTGTTTTAAGAGAGTGGAAAGTTTTAATGCCTATGTCCTGTTTTATATGGCATTAATATTTCATCTTATTTGGATGTGAGCAAACCATGTTGGTGTTCTTAACATAAAAGAATAAGATTTCTAATTCCAAATATAAATCAGTGGATGAAAATTGGAAATGAAAACATAGGTATATAAAATCATGATGACTGTTTGCTTACTATATGGATACAGAGCTAATAACATATCTAATATATCACTTAATGATCATCCTCTGTTGCCAGTTTTCCTTAATAATCATAGTAATAAATAATGTTCTCAGATTATTAACTTCTAGCTCAAGATTTGTTTTATACTAATTTATAAAGAGATTTAATAATTCTTGGCTTAATAGATAAAATATTCATTTGTGTGTTTATTGGGCTCCTCATTTTGCAGAGAATTCAAAGCTGGGAGGGATGTTTTGTCTTGAACAGATCTTTTGCAAGTAATCCCCTGCAAAACTCAGTTGGGAGAAAGAGAAACTAGCCACCTTCTTCAACAAGCATGGTGGACTGACAGACAAAAAATTTGCCCATCCTCCAAGGTACCTAAAGTACCATTTTATTTTGTTGCTACTGTCCTATCTAAAAAGTAGTCAGAAAAGCTTCCACCCTTTTTCTTTGTCATAGGAAAAACAAGCTTTTTTATTTCCTTGAATAGCAGCAGTTACAAATTCTAGGTGTCCTTTCAAAACCATAATTTTGCAGAATAGAAGCTTAGAAGCCATCTGCCTTTTCTCTCCCAATGCTCATTAAAGTATTCTTTTTTTCAGTACACGATAGCTTTTTGAAAGCAGCTACAGCCCTGACTTTCTATTATCTTTAACCTCCACCCCTCACTTCACATTACAAAATTGAGAAAGCATGGGGAATTTTAAAATGTGACTTTGGGTTTCCCTCCCTCCCCCAAAAAACAACAACAAACAAGCACCAGCAATGAGAGAGAGTTCATACTTTCTTGGGAACATTCCAGCATAGAGCAAAGCCATCTTTTCTTTATTCCATACCTCCACAGAAGGAAAATATTTTTTTTCCTCTTGCAAGGGGATTTTTTTTTAAAAGCTGCAAGGATTTTTTTCACCAAAGATCCACCTCTTCCTTCTGGTAACTGAACTTGAAGGGGAAATTACTTCTTTATTCTTCCTAGGAAAGGAAAGGGAATGGGTTTCCTCTTCCCTTCATATTTTTGCAGAAGCAAAAATAATAAGTAGAAATGGTGCCTTAAAAAGAAAAGCCTTACTTGCACTAGTCAAAATACATTTCCATTCCTCCCTAGAGCTGTATTGTATTGTTCCACAAGTCGAGGTTTTGGTGCAGTACCAGAACTGGACAGAGTGGAACGGCACACTCAATAAGAGGAGACAGATGTACGTACTGACATCTCTTAATTGATCAGATCCATCCCAAATTAAACAATGGCTTTGAGTGTTGAAATTCGAGAGGGGTTTTATTTTTTTTATTTTTTTGCTGAATCCAATTCTTTTACACTCTACAGTGATTATGCAAACAAGAATTGATTTTAATTAAAGAAAAGTCATTTATATGCTCCTTACTGAGATCCTGAATGTGAGGCAGAATAGATCGCTGTAAAACAGTTTTTTTCTACCTTGAAGCTTATAGCAGATAAATAGGACAATCATGGAACTCAGAAGTGTTAATTATTAAATTGTCTTTTTTCCTGTAGCAATAAAGAAACAAGTGCAATGACTAATGTAATAACAAATCCTAGAGATTGCCACTATGAAGGGTTTTTTTTTTTAAATGATGGCTATTTTTTCTAATGTCTTCTTTACGCTCTGTAATGGGAAATGGGACTGGATACAGACATTCCAAAGAATAAAATTTATTTCAAGCAGGTATATTTACTGACTTGTTTACAGGTGCTGCAAAATTATATATGCTATCAAAATGCCACAAATAAAATTATATGCTGTTAATATGAAACGTATTTTTGTTCAAAAGCATTCATTTTATGTGATTCATTTGTTATTTGTGTAAAGAGAAAAGGACTTTCGTGTGATTACAAAAAATAATTCAACTTACATGTGAGAGGTGAGAAAAAATGTCTATTGTCACCACTGATTTTCAGTATTTTTAAGATGCCAATACAATATAGCACAATCAATTTTTAATTGGGTGGATTAAGATAACATTATTTAATGATAACATGTTCTTCAATTCAAAACCATCTTTGGGGAGATGAATGGAAATATTAGTGAAATCTGGAAATCTGATTCATATAAAATTGATGAGACAAAAGGTGAATACTTGGATGTTCTTGTTCATTGTGAAACAAAATAGGAATTAGACAACTTGGAAGATAGAATTATTTCCTTCCAAAACACTAAATGATCCAGTTAATGAAAGCACTTCCTCTCTAGAACCAAGTGGCATAGGAGTTGGCAGCCTGTGCCCAAAACAGTGTTTGGGCCTTTTTTTTTTTCTTCAATGGAATATGTAAAGTTTTAAGAGAAAACTTCATTAATTATAGTAAATAAGTAGAAGGGTGATACAGAAAGTATATTAACTGATACTCTAAATCAGTTTAGCCTGATCAACATATAATGAGGTACTAAACAAACTGTAATTCTCTTAGCCTTGAGAGTTTGGCTAAGTCTGTCTCTCTGATCAAGCTTAAAATCCAATTAGGAATAATTAAAAGTTATGACAAAAAAGTTTCAGAATTGCTAATAATTCACAATGTTCACAATGCCTTTCTCGTTGCCCTTATTTTCACTTAAAAGATAACATCAATCCGAAGGAGCCATCAAAATTAGCAATTACATTCATTTTCAGTTCTGTTAACTCTACACCAAGTTAAATATCCTGGTTACTCTGATCAGTTTTATTTAAAACATTTTTTGATATTCAAACAATTCTGTATCCTTAAGTGTGGCTAAATTTCACCATGTAAGATGCCAGCAGTCTGGTTGGCACTCTACCTAGTGAACTAATTAGCATTAACTACACGCATGTAATATATTTTATGGGCTGGTTATTGATCACAGTTGAAAAAGCAAATTTGTGGTTAGTATATCCCCAATCCCAATTTAGCCAAATACAATTTCTTAGTTTTCCTTTAGAGGCTGCTTTTTGCAAGGAAAAATATTCCATTACTTCCATTACTTCCTAAACCTTTTTCTGAATGAAAATAGTAAATGAAGAAATAGTACTACAATAGTAAAAGGTAATACAAACTAAAAAAGAAAAGAAAAAATAGAGCAAATAAAAGATGCAAAAGAAAGAAAAAACTCTTGTAAGAAAGCAACTTTCCATTCTCATAAGTGTAAACAATTACTCTCTCTTTTCACCTCTTAATTAACACATACAAAACTCTTCATCCCATAATTCAACTATAATTCAGGAAATATCTTTTCCAATCCAGCTGTCAGCAAAAAATCCAAACAGAGCTCTAAAATAATAACATTACCTAACAAACCTAAAATAATCATAATTTTATATCTCAACACTTAACTAAGAATATCCACATTTAAAAGGTATAAAGTAGTCCCAATCTCAGTACAGTGGTGGCGAACCTATGGCACACGTGCCAGAGGCGGCACTCAGAGCCATCTCTGTGGGCACGCTCACCATGCCCCGGAGATGGCAACCATCCCTCTTCAACCAGCCGCCCACTAACTCGCTGAGGTCCCACATGGCTGGATGCATCCCAGCACCCTTCGCTCGCTGGCCTCTGTGTGCAGGGGCCGATGGTGTCAGGCAGCAGCTGCCCCAGCCCCTGCCTCACCTTGCCCTGTGACAATGGCACCCCCGCCCTGCCTTGCCTTGCTTCGCCTCACCCTGCAGGACGAACCTCCTGCTCACCTGCCAGAGACCCCCTGGATCTCCCCCAACCCTGCCTGGCCCCCACAGGCGTCCCTCCCCATGAGCAACATTGAGGTGATCACGCCCACCTTGTCCACACCCACCCAATCTGCCATGATCACAGCCACGCCCATCCAGTGGGCCACACCCACCCAGCACCCAGCGATAAATAAGTGGGTTTTGGATTGCAGTTTGGGCACTCGGTCTCTAAAAGGTTTGCCATCACTGTCCTAGTGTAAACCGAATGCTGAAATTGAACGTGACAAGGGGGACAATATCTCCTTTAAAGAGAGCAACCTCATAAAAGTTTCTTAATTTAAATGAAAAAAACAAGCCAATTTAGATGCTGTCAAGTTAGGATACATAACATGAACATGTTTAAAGGCTTAAAACATTTTTTTTTGCTTCCATTCAATTGTGCCTAATTCTCAGGGTCTGCTTGAACAAGTTAACTGCAATTTTAGGGGCAGTTTTTCAGAATTTCACAATTGCCCAGTTGGCTTTGTGCAGGACTTTAGCTCATGACCTCCCTGTTTCTAGCCTAATGCCTTAACCACTACACAAAACTGGCTCTCCAAGTACCATATTAACCATAAGCAAATCCAATACCCAACATGTTTCCAGTTCAGATGTCAGCAAGTCCCAAAAGAACCACCCAAAATAATATGCCCCAATTAATTTAACCCTGATTGAATAAACTAACTTTGTGTTCTTACTTTTTGCATAAAACAATCTTGCTCTTTAATCCATTCAGATTATTGTTGTTTCTTATCTCAACTTTCTTCAAAAATTTAAAAAGCCTCTTTTCTAAGTTCAGCAAAAAAATATACCAATTACTCTCTCAGATTGGCATTCTTATTTCCTTTTTTTAAGCCTCATCTGATATTTTTTTATGTCTAATGACAAATTCTTGTTCACATTCTCAGATAGATTTTGTTGCAACTCCTTTTCTGTAACAGTTTCATCTGGGAATAGAATATTGCTAAGAACAAACAACATAGCTGACATCAATGATTCAGGGTCCCAGTGCAATTCCTCAAAAATGTCTCTGAACACCAAGTTGCTTATCTTGTTATTTCTCTTGTAGTGTCTCCAATATTGAAAATAGCTTCCCTTTCCCACAAAAATACAATTATTCTTTAGAATTTATTTCAAAATATTAATATTCAAAATCAAATATTCCAACTTTTCAGAACTCTTAATATGTTTAAAACTTTCTAAACATCTTGTTTTTTGCTGTTTATATTCTTAAAGCTTTTGAAGTAATTTAAGAAAAATTAAGGAATGAAAGCACTCGTTTGGTCTTTCCAGCCTTGTTATTTTGAAGGTCTTTAATCTTTTTAAAGTAGCTAATAACCAATTTTTAATAGGCAGAGGAAGTGTCAATTTATATTCCCTTGGTTCCTGGTCTGCTGCCTTGAAGTTTCATGAAAAGCCACTATGGGGAACACAGCTTGTGTGAACCTGCATCCTCTCTTCACCCAGAGTGGGTCGAAGAACGCGATCTGTTCATTCACCTGCCTGTTTTTAGTTGCAATTGTCAATTCCACTTACATGGATCTGTCTTCAGTCCTCCATTCTTCAGAAGTCATCTAGCCACTATGTTTCTGATGTCACACCCAAATTTCACAAGACACAATTTCTTTGGATTTTCATTAACTGTTGATTACATCCTATGATCTACCAGATCATATTTCCTCCAAGCAAGACTTTCAGGCTTATTTAAATAATATTTTATACAAACTATGTCTCTAAGCAGTCTTGCCTAGATTTAAATTTAGAGAATTCAGGCTTAATTTGATTCTGGTTTTCATCTTCTATTATATCTGATCCTCCTTTCATAGCACACTGGAGCTTCTTTGGTTCATTTGATCTAGACTTTAATCTAGATTCTATCACTGTCCCACATTTCTTCTTCAGAGCATCAAAAACCAATCTGTGTAGCTGTATGGAACTTTAATGTATAGAACATTAAAAAAAAAGATTTCTAGATTTATTTTTTACCCAGTTCAGTTAACTTCATAATGTAATCTTACATGTGAATACAATAATCCTATTTCTATATGGATATTAAGTAGTGCAATGCAAATAAAATTGTTTGTGACAATGTTTTCTACAAATCAATGATAATCAATGGGAAATTGGGTCCTGTGGTACAAACTGTGGATGAATGGCATCTCAGTATTACTTACTTGGAACAGACCAATTACATCTTTCCTTTATCTGTTTTGAGGAAATTGAAATCAATCTTCAGCCTCATTCTGATGTTCTTTAGTCAAGCACTGGAAACTTACCCCAAATTATAATCTTAAATAAATCTGTCAGTTATCTATTTTTGGAAATAGCAACTTTCACATAATTCCTCTTTGCAATCCTCCTTTATCATTTGAGGTTGATTAAGATTGGCTCTCTGAGGACAAAAGCACAAAGGATGTTATCTCTTCCATAAAAAGTTACCATAGTTTCAGCTGGCTGTGAAGATCCTCAGGCATCAATACATCCAATTGAATAAGCACACCATAAAGCAAGAGCCTAACTTAACTATGAAGAGTGCTGATAAGAAAAAAATATTCTGCAATTTTCTTAGCACTTCCAAAATGCTGTGCTTAAGGCATAAACATAACTTTTCTAATTTTGTCTATTTAACTTCTAGCTTTGCAGAAAAAGTACACGTTATGAGTGTCTAATCATGTCAAATCTGGTTGAAAGCCAGAATGCCAGGGTGTTAACGATAATTTTCCCTAAATCACTGGAATGCTTTTCAAGTGCAAATACACATTACATTTAAAACATGCTCAATTAAGAATCACATCTCACTGGATATAGAGTTCCCAATATATCAAATACTGGGGCAGAGAATATACTGGCCACCACCATCATTTCCATTCCTTGTCTGTTAAATGTTGATGGTAGGCATTTTCAAGAATGCCTCTGAGTCCCAAATGGTGCCCACAGAAAATAATGATGAGGTGCTGTAGCCTAGTCCTGGACATGGGGTTTATTTGCCCAGAAAATGAACAAAGGTAAGTAGGGGTAGTAGGAAGCATCCTACAGGGGCAGAAGAGGAGCTAAAGGAGTGGCAGAAGGCATTCTGGTGTTATGCCTACATCTTCTACCTT